TATAAGTAGAGTTGAGAAAATGAGTCGAACTCATAGGGCCAACCTGTTTAAGCCCGATAATTGCTAGGGCCAAGCTTGAGCTTTAAGGCTTCAAAATAGAATGCGGGCTTATGAAGGCCAGTCCTAATGGACTGTGAGGACTAGCTCGTTTAAGCCCATTTATTTATTTATATTTTAAAATATTATTTATTATGATAATATTATTGATATTTTTGATAATGTTTCAAGTATTTAGTTGTTATAGTATTTTTTTTTAGAATTAAAATTTACATAATATTTTGGTTTGTTTAACATTTTTTTGGATAAAGTTTAGTTTGTTTAATTCTAAATAATGATTCATGTTACGTATGTGTATTTATATTTCTAAATTATATTTTTAATAATAGATTATATTTATATAATTTTGTATTGTATAACTTGAATTAGGAATTCATAAATTTTAATGTTTTATTATTTGAAATAAGGAAATTTTTGCATAATCAAGATATTATTGATATTAAGAATTAAAATATTGTCTATATAGTTTTACATTGGAGCAAAATTTTATATTGTAGTTGAATAAATGAATTATTTTTAGTTTAAAAAATAAATAAAAAAGACTTGAAGCCTGTAGGGTTGGCCCTAAGCTCGTTATGCTTAGGGCCAGACTTTATATATAAGTCTTTCAAAAGGAACTCATACTTAAACGGGTTAATTCTTTTAGGCTCGAGTCCGTTAATGGCTGGCTTGACTTTTCAGCTCTAACTATAAGTAGCCATGTATTAATCTTATCAAAAGGTTGTTGGGCCTAAAAAATTACTGGGCCTTGCTTAAAAGTAATTTCAAAGAGCAATATTTAATTTAATCAAGCCCAGTTCCTTTTAATAAGGCGCATTGAAATATTTAGGCTCCAATTGTGACAATGGGCTGGTTTTCGTAGCTCGTAGACTTGAAAAGAGACCCAATCAACCAGATTGGAACTTGACTGGTCCCGAGTTGGACCCAATTGACCAGAGGGATATTGGTTCAATTTCGCTGAAGGTGGAAATTGAACATGAAAAACAACCGTGTGCCAACTAGAAATAATCCAAAAAACCTAAGGTGTGAGAGTCCGGTTTAATCATTTATTTTTTTATATGTTGAGGCTTATTAAGATCAACTCAAATTGAGTCCAATCCAAACAAGTTCATCTCAATCAGATTACTGGTTCCAATATACTTAAAGTCCTTTATCCTCAATGACAAGTTGATAGGAAGGGACAAGTGCACTCCCTTGCTTTGGAGAGCATTACATATTTGAGGCATAAGTTGTAGTTTTTTGCATTTAAATTTTGATAATGTGTAAACTACTTATCTTTAAATTCTAATGCTTTACATCCTTGCTTTTTTGACTTTAAATATTTTACACACATGGTTCAGGGGTCACTTTAAATATTTATGTCTGTGTAATATTGACGTGGACTCTATAAAAACATGTCCTAAAAAAATTAATAATTAAGTAAAGATTTAGCTAACAAAAAAAATCAACTAAAAACAATAATCATTTAAAAGAAGGAAATAAAAGGTTTAAAACTCAGAATCCCATAAAAGACCCATTTAAAAAAAAACATCAAGTACACGTATAAGGAACACAAGAGGCGATCAAACTCTACCTATAAGGTGTATTTTCCAAGGAATACATGGAAACAAGCTATCCTATCTTAAAAAGAAATCAAAATCATTGAACTCATTTTTTAGGTTTACAAAGCTGCTTTTTATAAGTACAAAAAAGCTAAGACTCTTTAAAACCCCCAATAAAAGAAAGGGAGAATATCAATGAAGGACTCAGCTATGAAAAAAAAAAAAATTTACATCTGATAAATATGCGGATGAATTATATATTTGTTAAAATAAAAATTTCAATTATAAATTATTAACTTATTAGTAATTCTTTTATGAAATCAAATTCCTTCCAGGGTCATTTGCTGATATTTTCCCTAAAAGAAATTCTGATATTAACTCGCTTAAGCCCAAATACGGTAATTGAGTCCCTTTTCTTTTAAAAGGGTAACTTAAAATTAAATATAAAAATAAATACTTAAAAACACAAGGATAAAAAGAAAATTTATGACTAACAAAAGTTCAACTTAATATAAATATGTTGGAATATTTTTAAAATGAAGAGATATTATTTTTTTCTTTTGAAAAGTCATGTCTTTGTAAACTGAAGAGTTATGTCCTTATAAATTAAGAAATTTTTTTATGAATGATTATGGAAAAAGTTATTGTCACCAGCGTTATGTCTCTCTAAATTTTAAAAGTACTTGAAGGATTATAAAACTAAAAGGTGTTATTTGGTGAAAGAAAATATATATTTAAAAAAAACACTCAACATATTAAATGAGGTAAGGAGGTTTCTTCTCATGGAAAGTTATTATAAATAAACTTTAGTTGACATTATGTAAGCTCATGAACCAACACAGGGATGTTCATAAATTAATATAAGATTGTTCATGAACAATACAAGGGTTATAAATCAACTTAGGTTATAACTTTTAAAAAGAATTTTATCACTTCAAGAAATCACTTCAATGTCTATAAATACCTTACCAACATTCATTTTGCATATCCATCTATTGAAACCCATTGCTTTTATTCCTTGATTGTATCATAAATAAAATTAAATTATCACTTTATAAAAATTATTATTGTTTTTGCTTGAGTCTTGACAGTGCAAATCATACTCATGGGTCTTCATTGTATCATAAAGGAAATTTGCCAAAAACCTGACTTGCACACGAAGACTAAAATAGGTGAAGGAGAATTAATTAAGTCCAAAGAAAAAAGTTGTCCATACCTTGAAGATGATGTGCACAACTTTTTTCTTCATCTCTACTTCTGTTGATCTTCAAGGATCATCCTTGCCAACAAAATATGCCACCTAATTAATGAAATCACAAGTTAGGTATATGACATACTTGTTTATAAATAATCGGATAAAATAAGACCAAAAAATGAGTGAAATAAATAAATTAAAACTAATTAATTTGAGAGTCTTCATGTGTTATGTCACCTTACCTTCATCTAAAAATCTCTCATGCCACTTAATATGCTTCCCTCTAATGATTATTGACTTTGATACTTTACAAGGCTCTTCTAGATTATTTAAATACGCCAGTTTACTACTTACGTAGAGTTGTTAAGCTTCCTTTGATCCATCACAACATGAATTCAATGCGGTCATGTTCACCAAAGCACTTGCCAAAAGACATGTTCGAGTATTTCAAAGGCATGGGGCATTATCAATCTAGCCACATGCTACAACTTGAGGGCAGTGAAGAATAATATAATTAATTATCATTTAGTTTTTATTAAATTATTTCATTATCCATATGCAGTTATGGATATCTTATCTTCTTGGGGAGGATCTTATCTTTCTGTTGTTTTATTATTTAAATATTTAGATTATATGGTAGATGTGGGAGACAGATATAATATCCCATAGACGATGTGCATATATGCATGCGTATACATGCTGCTGTACAGAATAATAAAGTGTTGAGTTTTTCCACATAAAGTTTATTAGGAACACACACATTTAGTTAGAAGTTGCAAAACTTAATTACTTTTTCCCCATCTGTTGATGGATGCCCTTAAACTATGAACATTTACTTTTGACCATGAAAATAAAGGCTAGGGACTTTTAATTAGAGTTGGTAAACGGGCTTATAGGCCTAGGCCCTAAAGCCCGATTATCCCAATTTAATCTTAAAATTGAAGCCCGGCCCTTATTCATAGGGCTCAGGGTCGGGCCCGTAAGCCCGGATAAGAATAAAATAAAATAAAATAAAATTCAACATTTAAATTTATTTAGAATATTTTAAAATTTAACATATATCAAACCAAAGTCTTACATAATTTAAAAAATGAACAAAAAATTTAAAAGTCCAAATAAGATGAAGGCAAACATCATCATCAATTTAATCAAGATCTCCCTCATTATCATCCATAAATAAAATATTAAAACTTTCAGATATAGGTCCATTTGTGAAAGATGGAGGCGGAGGCTCAATATTAATTATTTCTGCAGCTTCTTCATCATCACCTATAATAATTATTAATTAAATTATTTTATTATCAAATATATATCTATACATATATCACAAGATAAAATATAAAAATTACTATAAAATGGCACAAAACAATTCAACCAATTGTTGGTATAAAATACAAATCAATGTTTGCATATTATCTAGAAAGAGGTGAAAACAATACTTTGTGAATAGTAAAACGGGCTTCGCGGGCCGTCCGGGCTTGAGCCCATTTTTCTAGGGCTTAAAAGAACCGGGCTTCGAAGCCCGGTTACCCTAAAAAATGTCAAATTTTTAACCCTGAACTCTTATTAAAATGGGCTTAAACGGGCCCGTCAAGCCCGGCCCTTATTCCTGACTCTACGTCTAATGCCCTTCTCTCTCATATTTCTTGTAATGCCATTACCTCTTGATTTTTTTTTCCTTTTGCTTATTAGATTCTTTATGTAAAATAAAAAATATTTTGAAATCTTATGACAATAAAACAATACGGTTTTTTTTGGATTTAGAAAACATCAAGAATTGTGTTTATTTATTTATTTTCTTAAAAAAATCATTAAAAATTCAAAATTACACGTTTCATTATAGTAAAATATCAAAATGTCTCTTATGTGTAAAATCTAATGATAAAAAAGAGAGAGAAAACTATTGAAAAGTACCCCCTCTATTTCTATATAAAAAAAAACTGTATTACATAATTTAAAAGATGCGGTTAACCATTATAACGATATCTAAAAATAAAAGAATTGAACTAAAATGTTTATGTTAATTAATATAAATATGTATTAATTATTTCTTATTAATATAAATTATTAGGGGTAATTTAAAAAGCATGTAATAAATGTTTATTGAAATGAATAATTTTATTTATATAAAAAAATAAATAAATAATGATTGTTTTTTCTATAAATAAAAACGGGAGAGCAGGAGCATTAAAAGAGGTATTAGAAGAATGGGCATCGATCAGAGGCCCATGCTCATAAAGTAACTAAATTTTTACGTCGTTCAACGGAGGAAAAGAAAACGAGGTCCACACTCTGCAGGCAAGCCGGTGCATTTAAGACTTACTCCATCCATTTTTATATATAAAATATTTTTTATAAATTTATTTTCTTTTTAAATATAAAAATTAACAATAATATTTTTAAATAATTAAATAATTTTATTTTTATTTTAAAAAATAAAATAGATCGTTAATCGTATGTTTTCTCTATCACCATCATAATATTAATTATGCTATTATTAGAGATATAAAACTAAAAAATTATTATATTTTTATATTAGTTTAACTAAATAAGAAACTTTATTTATATGTAGGATTTCATTAAAAACACCTTTTGTATATAGGGTCAGGGGGGCAAGTGATAAATATTTGTAATACATGTACACTCAACTGCGAGACACACACACATATAAACACACACTGCATAAAACTTGTTTAAGTCCAGATCTTTCGTTTGTCAGAAGCTCAAGCATACCCAGGCTGTTTCTAATCTCGAAGACAGTCCATAATTAAGAATCATCACTAGCTAATAAGCTGACAAAAGTTATTCCCAATTTCAGATAATCGAATATCCCTGCTTCTGTGAGAGAGATCACTACACCAATATGTGTGCTTGTGTGTGTGTGAGGTCTGCCTCATTTTCGAAGTAACAAATTAAAATTGTGGAACACAATCTGTTCTATTCTATTTAATTCATCTTCGAGTCTCTTCTTACCAACTGCCAAAATATCTCGGGACCATATTGAATGAATTCTATATCTCCGCTCCACCAATATTTAATTTTCAGCTGCTCATATCACCTTTAAAACCCACTCATGCATATTTTTTTGCATCCCATAATCTTCACGTTCTCATTTCATATATTTTCTCCAGATTCCAAAATTCATCATCCTATTTTCTGTTTCAAAAATAGCTTTTTAACCTTTTTATTCTCATCTATATCCAAGCTTCCAAGAGATCATCCTATAATGTTGGATCAGAAGAATCAACACGGAGTTGAAGCACCGCAACGAAGGAGCATTAATATGCTTCCCAACTTTCTTACATCAGTTAGGCTCAAGTACGTGAAGCTTCTGTATCACCACGTTATCTCCAACGCCATGTTCCTCTTTCTCATACCAGTTCTGGTTTCTGCTTCTGCTCATCTGTCAACTCTCTCAATCCAAGATATTCTCCAGTTATTATGGCAAAGCTTCAAGTCCGGATCCGGTCTCGTCCATGTGACGCTGTGTTCATGTCTGCTTACAGTACTCTTAGCCACCATCTACTTCATGAGCCGTCCACGACGTGTTTACTTGGTGGATTTTGCGTGTTACAAGCCTGACCCAGCTTTCATGTGCACAAAGGAGCTGTTCATGGAAAGATCAAGGCTATTAGGTCACTTCTCAGAGAAGCACTTGTTGTTTCAGAAGAAGATTCTGGAAAGATCTGGTTTGGGACAGAAGACGTATTTCCCTCCTGCATTGTTCCGTATACCAATTAACCCATCTTCCACTGATGCGAGAAAGGAAGCAGAGGACGTGATGTTCGGAGCCATTGATGAGCTTTTCGAGAAAACTGGCGTGAGGGTTAATGATGTTGGGATGTTGATAGTGAACTGTAGCTCCTTCAATCCTGCACCGTCTCTGTCTGCCATGATCGTCAATCACTACAAGCTGAGAGGGAATATCAAAAGCTATAATCTTGGAGGTATGGGATGCAGTGCTGGCCTTATCTCTGTTGATCTTGCCAAGCAACTTTTGCAGGTATGTTATATTCATTTCCTCAAGTCTTCAACTACATATCACAGCAATTCCTAATCAGCGTAATAGTTGCTTTAGAGAGAACGGATAATGAAACTTAAATAGTTCCTTATAATTATCTCAATCATCATTTTAGTTACTCGAGTTTAATGTTTATTAATTTGATTCTTTTTTTTTTTAAATTATCATGTGAGTTTTTTAAAATGTAAATTAACTCTCAAAATAAGCTAATATATATTTAAAATATATATTGATGACTTGTTATATATATATAACTAAATAAAAATAAGTTAACCTTCAAATTAGTTTAATTTTTATCAATATGATTCATTACAGTATGTTTTATTGTCTTTTTTTTTTTTAAAAAAAATCAAAGTCTAACTTTTCTCTTAACTAATTATAATTATACTTCTTTTCATTAACCTACATGACTAGCTATTATAATATTCTATTATCATGTTAGCTTGCATTTTAATAGTAATGAACTAAATTGATAAGTAATAATGAGAGATAATTTAAGAACTAAATTGATAGAAGCTACGCTTAAAAAATTAAATTAATAATTGAGACAAATTGAAGAGATTAAAGTTACATTATCCCTTAAATTTCAATAACCTAAATTTTATACATTCCTACATGTGTATAGGTGCATCAAAACTCTTATGCCCTAGTGGTAAGTATGGAAAACATAACTCTAAATTGGTATACCGGCAACAACCAATCGATGCTCGTTTCAAATTGCCTCTTCCGAGTGGGCGGAGCAGCAATTCTGTTATCCAACCGTTCATGTGATCGCCGCCGTGCCAAGTACCAACTTGTTCACATAGTTCGAACACACAAAGGTGCAGAGGACAAATCATACAGCTGCATCTTCCAACAAGAAGACTATAACAAAAACCTTGGCGTCTCTCTCTCCAAAGACCTCATGGCTGTTGCAGGCGAAGCCCTAAAAGCCAACATCACCACCCTCGGCCCTCTGGTCCTTCCCATGTCAGAGCAGCTTCTGATCTTCTTCACATTGATCGCTAGAAAGGTTCTGAAGATGAAGAAGGTCAAGCCCTACATTCCAGACTTCAAGCTTGCTTTTGAGCACTTTTGTGTTCATGCTGGAGGAAGGGCGGTTTTGGATGAGGTGGAGAAGAACTTGAGGCTCAGGGATTGGGACATGGAGCCTTCGAGGATGACACTGTACAGATTTGGAAACACTTCGAACAGTACGTTGTGGTATGAATTGGCGTACAGTGAAGCTAAAGGGAGGGTGAAGAAGGGTGATAGGGTATGGCAGATTGGTTTGGGGTCTGGGTTTAAGTGTAACAGTGCCGTGTGGCGTGCCTTAAGGGAAATTAATACTGCGAAGCAGAATAATCCTTGGATGGATGAGATTCATGAGTTTCCCGTTCAAGTTCCTAAGGTGGCAACCATTGGCTCTTTCTAGTTATTCTGTTTGTCTCAAATTATAAGGCAAGATTGTAAGAATTTTGTTATTCTAAAATATAGAGTAATTTTAAAAAAATAAATTTAATTAATGACATTTTTTAATATTACTTTTCAAGTGGAAAGAAAATTAAAATTATTGTAAATTTTAAGTTATGTTAAATAAAGGATATCTTTAAAAGTTTATATTTTTAAAAAAATTAATTTATAAAATGTCATTATTGATTTTTATTAGTATATACATACACGGTTACACACATGTCCTTTATCAGCTAGCTATGAATTTAATTTTGAAGTATGACCAGTTGCGTCGTGTGAGTTGAGCGTTGCATTAGAGTTTATTGTGTCAGGGAACAATATAATAGAAGGTACTGTATTTCATTTAAAAAAATTTAAAATGAAAACTTACGAGGAGTGAAATATAAATAAATTTTATCTATTTAATGTTAATGCTTTTTTCATGGAATATCTTTTGATATAATATTTCTTGTTAAGAAACTCCAGGGGCTGGGGGAATTCTGGCTGAAAGATTTGGTGAGAAGTAAGGATGTTCCAGCCACGTTTGCTCATGAATTTTTTAAATATTTTTGTCGTTTCATTATTTTTTATAAAATTATAAAACCTTCTGTCTGTCCTTTTTTTTATTTATTTTTTAAAAAAGAGGGTAAACTTCAAAAAAATTCTAAGCCAACAAAAAACCTTTGAAAATTTCATTGATTAGCATCTATTCTCTGTGGGTCAGTAGCGGGCGTTTGGATGCCACGTCCAAACACCCAAAAGGACTTTCGTAGGATGTGATTGTTTTGAGGAGACGATGTTACATGAGCATATCCGTATTCACTCACTTCCTCAAAAGCATATGCATTCATAAAGCCATTATATCCCCTTTTTTTATTAAAAAAATTTGAGTGAGTTAGATATCAAAGGCTTATTAAGATTAAAGTATATCTATAAACTTAAAAAATACTTACAAATCGTCCATCAATCAAATTTACATTCATTAAAAGCTATGTTATCAAACAGAGCTTGAATGTTGCTTTTAATTTTTTCTAAATGGAGTTTAATAAATTTTTTTTTTTTGCTTTAGCTCCAATATTTTAGATCTTTGACACAGACTAATCTAGTCAATAGCTTGCCTACCCCCTCCAATTGAGAGTTTAATTGCTTTTATATACTCAAAACTCAAACTCAAAACTTTAGGTTAAGTTAAATCAACTCTTAATCAGTTGACCCAAATGCTCGATGGCAATGACGGAGTTAGGGCCTTGAGATAGGAGGTGTGAAATAATTTAATAAAAAATTAATTTTTTAAAAAATTAATAATTATGCTAGGACTAAATTGTAAGAACATAAATAATTTTATTATCATTTTTTATTTTAAAAAAATTACATTGAACAAATTAATATAATCTTTTATTATAAATATGCTCTTTATATCTTATCTAAATCATTAAAATATTATATATTTAATAAATTTTTTAGCCTAAATATTTTTTATTTAATTCAAAGGGTGCAAAATATCAAGAGTAGAGGGTGTAAAGTTGTAAATTTTATACATCTGATTTGTAATTTTATTTAAAGTGAGAGGATGCAATTGTACTCCCTCAACCCAACGTGACTCTGCCACTGACCGATGGTTAAATGGAGTTTAATAATTTTAAGGATTGTTAAAAACTCTAATATCCAAATTACCCTCTTTGTTATTTGGTTAAAAGAAATCACTATATTCATTCATTCCTTCCCCCCCTCCCCATCTCATATGCTTTCTTGTTCCACACCATAACAATATTCACTATAAAAGTATAAAAAATATTCAATGTTAAAATTTATATTACTCAATATAAATTATTCACTGTATTGAATTAAGTTAAAAACTCAAATATCTATATGTATAATTTAATAGAAAAAATTCTTAAAATATGCATTTGACAATAAGATATCGCGAAATGTCATAATTCTTCTTAAATTCCTAAGGACATGTTGGCCCATTTTTCAAGGAATGGGTTAAAGCGTCATGCTCCTTAAGAGTGTGCCAGGCATGCATGCTAGAAGAGCATGTCCTCAAAAGTGTGAGTTAGATTAGATGATCGTGTAAGATCCCATTTCCCAAGATCATTTAATTTACCACACTTTCTTTAAAGTATCAAGTGAATGCAAGAAATTAAGAGTGTGAGAAATTATGAGTGCATCATGTGGCGGGCAAGGCCTATTGTATTACTAGTACGTTAATACAATTGGCGCCTTGTGAAAACGAAGGGAACAAGATGAACACAAATTGGCCTAAGAACCATGATTTGCATAGACACAAAGGTTCGCATTGAACAAAGTAAGGCGATGCAGGGTCAAAATTAGTGTTTTATACTAGTGAAGTCTTGGTAAGTTTGGCAAAGTGTCAAAAGACTTTTAGTTATGTATTTATTGCTATTTATAGGAAAACAACAACAACATGCTCCTTCAAATTTGAATTTGGGTACCAAAGGAGCAAATAACTTTCCGCGCCATTAATTGATCGAGTGTGTGCTTTGTTGTGCGGAGTGATGAAAATGAGTGTGCCAAGAAACTCGAAGTACTGGGTAGAGTGGGTGAGACTAAAGTCATTAGCTTCCTAAATATAGTGTTCCACTTACACTTATGAGGATAGTTCGCTACTTTATTGTTGGGATGAGGTGGGTTAGGCCTCAACTAATTACTCTTCTCAAAAGTGGCGCATTGATTTGGGCCCAAACAAGACCTTTCACGTGATCTTATTATCATTTGCATATTTTAGGGAGATTTTTTTCATCATTTTCCATATTTATTAATATATAAAATTTTATATTATTTAGGCATCTTTTTATTATATAAATTATTCATGGATATTAAATTTTATATTATTTATATGTTTAAAAATAATTTTTATAACAAAAAATTGGATATCATAAAATTCATACCACTTTTTAATAACTCTAAATTTAAAAGTACTTTCCATTATTTAGTATCGAATTATTTTTTAGTTATCAAACTAACTTTTAAAAAAATAAATGTAAACATAACTCTTAATTTGGATGGGTAGAAAAATAAAAAGGAAGGAGAACTAGAGGGAAAAACTTCTAAAATTAGTAAAAAATTAATTTTGGTATAAAATTTATTAAATAATAAAGATATAAAATTTGATATATTGTTTAAAAATTGTATAAATAGTTCAATATATATTAATGTTAAAAATTAATGTGATTAATTATTTAGTCTATAATACTTAAAATTTGATCTCTAATTATTATTATTTAAATTATGATTATAATTTTAATGAATTAACATTATTTTTAAATAAAAGAATGGTAAATTAAACTTGGAGTAGATGATCAGATAAATACTAACACTCCAATCTAATTTTCAAAAGCTCTAAGTATATTTGACTACTCCACATTTCACATCCATAAAGTACTTTGGCACGTTCAAAAACTAGGATGTTGCTTGGGTAGAATTTTTTGCCCAAAATGACTTGTACATGTTTAGCTCTTTCATTTAATACCTGACAATAAACTAACTTTTTCGCGCGTTGCGCATGAAGTATTTGATACAAAAATTATTATAGATGTAATATAGGTGCCTGTGATGATGATTATTCTATTTTTTTTGGGTAACATCTATTTGTAAAAGTCTCTTGATTGAATATTATATAAGTATAAGCTTTTCAGCTCAAATAACAACAACTTAACTTATCTAATCACCAAACATTGCTTCAAAAATATTTAAATTATGACTATTTGTATTGTTGATTCCCCCGTGCAATACACAGCCACACAGGAAGATTAAACTTAAATAGTAATTAAAGCTAGTGTATAAGTGTATTGTTCTAATTTTAAATCTCTTAAAGAATTATAATAATCATAACTACCAAGAAAATCAATAATCTTATTAAGCTTACCATGACAAATCATATGGTTTGCAAAGGATATTGTGTATGATAAGGTTCTCATACCAATATACTCAATACCCAAATGTGAGTTTCAACAGTTACTTGTAATCATTATGTGAAAATTCATTCTTAACTATGATTGAAATGTACTTTAGAAAAGTACTTCTTTTAGCTTTTTGACACTTTCTAAAAGTTAAATGTTGTTTATCCAAACAGGCACTTCTCATTTTTTATTTTACCATGTTACCTTTCAATTTCTTAAGTTTGGTAATACCAAATATTATGTGATTTAAGATGAAAAGTACTTTGAACCATTAATACAAATTTTGTCTAATATTATTAAAATCTATATTTTTATTTTTATTATTTAACATATCAAATTTTATATTATTTAAAATTTTTATCATAAATATTTTTTAAATATTTCTAATACATTAAATTTATATAACAAAAATTATAAATCATAAAAATTAATGTGTTTTTTTGGTAATGCTATATTCAAAAGCACTTTTTAATATATACATATAATTTAAATAATTTTTAATTTACTAAATTAACTTTTAAAAAAGTGTATTCAAATATAAATTTCGTTGCAATAACTTATTTTTACTAAATAAATTTTTGACAAACTGACTCTTGACTAATTAAAAAACTAACAGGCACTAAAATGATTCCACTTTGGGGCCTCATTTGAATGTGCTTTATGATATTTTATCCTTATTATCTAGGAAAAATTAATCACTTGGTCTTTATAGTTTTGATTTGGTTATAAATTAGTCTTTGAATTTTGCCTCTTGTAATTTAGTATTTGAAGTTTTAACCTCTTAAATATTAGTTCCTATATTTTAAAAAATAAAATTATAAATATTAAAAATATTTTAAAATTTATAAATAATATTTTAAATTATTAAACCCTTTTAATATTTATAAATATTATAAATATTAAAAATTTAAAATATTTTTAATCTTTATAACTTTATTTTTAAAAAATAGGGACCAATATTTAAGATGTAAAAAATTTAAGGACTAAATTGGAAAAGAAAAAGTGTAGGAACTGATTTATAACCAAGTCAAAATCTCAGGGATTGAGTTATAACGAATTAAACTTGAGGAATTGAGTTACAATTAGATCAAAACTATAAGAATTAAATGATGAATTTTTCCTATTATCTATCATCAAATTTTATGTTATTTAATATTTTTATCACATATATTTTACAAACATTTCTTATATGAAGTATTTGTATAACAAAAATTAAAAATCAAAAAAATTAATATTTCTTTTGATAATTATAAATTCTAAAACATTTTTTATTATATATAATTTAAACAACTTGTAGTTTACCAAATAAATTTTTAAAAAAATATATTTAAATATAAATTTTATTATAATAATTAATTTTTATTAAATAAACTTTCGACTAAATCAGTGAAAAATCAAACAGGAACGTCAATCTATATGTACTTTTCTCTAAGCGAGATCCCCGCATTTCTCACAAAATTTTTAGCATTTTTCGGCCAACTTTCTCTCACAGCGTTGGGTCTTCCCTGCAGGTTTCAAAATTGAACTTGCTCCGTGAATGGGAAAACAAATACGCAGGAGAATATATCATCTAGGGTCGGTGATTCGGGTTAAATTTGATGAGCTAACCCGAACTCATCCAAAAAAATTTATGATTGGGTTTAGAAAAAAACATATTTTTTTTAGCCGGCTTGAAAAAATTCGGGCTAAATTGGATCGGGTTCAGGTTTAGCCCGAATACCCAAATAAAATTTTTTTAAAAAAATATAATAAATATTAATTAATTATTTAAATTTTATGTCATTTTATACTAAAAATATCATATATTTAAGTCTTATATATTGTTTAAGTATAAAAAATATATTTTATATTTTTTATAAAATAAAATAATTAATTTTAAAATAAAAAAATTAATTAAAAATAAAATTCAGGTGTTCGAGCTATCAGAACTTAAAAGATTTTGAGCCAAACTTGATCCTTCAAGCTTTTTAAGGCGCCAGGCCTATTCACATTGGGCCCAATTCCCAACTCTAATATCATCCAATTAAGCCTGTGATCGTGCTAAAATAACAAATTTAACGAATGTCCAGAATTAATTTAAATTAATTCCACATATAAAGATAGCAAACACTTACCGTGGGTCCAGACACGAACATGAAAATAAATAATAAATAATTAAATATATATTCATATGGGATTGGCGTGGAAGATTAATTACGAAATGTTGATGTGAACCAATCGAATTCCTTAACAATCCTATGATGATGGAGATGAAAATTGAAGTAAAATATTAACATTCACAGTTGAAGAAATTGAAGATTGATTCATACAAATTTTAGGTTGCGAACACGTACGTTAATAACAAACAGACGCATGGTACATGTACAAATAACGTAAATTGTCTCATTTACCTAACTCTCTGTAGGCAATTAGGTATTTAGGTTGCAATCGTACAGGCTGCAGAGGACAAGGAATTTGTTGATCAGTCATTATCTCAACCATCTTCCACTTGCTAATTTATTAATAAAAAGATGCATCAGGTTCAGATGCATGTTCTGATTTTAAAATTTATTAATAAAATTATTCAATAATTTAAATAAAATAAGCATGCGTCTTTCCTTGTCAAGGATTCTCCCGTCAACGGAAAAACACAACAAATATTAATTAAACTATGCATGGGCTAGCAGCTAGCTGTCCTCATTGTTTTGACTTTTGAGTCTTGATGAGTCATACTGTTAATAATTTATCGTTTTTTAATCTGAGTATTAGTTGTTTGATCCAATTGGGGTAACTATCAAATTGGAAACCTCATTCCCAAGTGGTCATAAATTATTATTATTATTATTATTAGTATTATGATAACTAAAGCCCGTTGATTATGACAATCCAATTCGAGCATTATTTGGCCTAGATTTTGAAGTAGTTCTCATGAAAATATTTTTGACATTCATATGAACTTAAACAATATGAATCAAATTAAGGTTCAAACTTTAATTTAGTTGGAAAGGGTATTCATATTTAGTTTCCGTTTTTTCTTGAATAAAATTGTTACTAATAAGATATCATCGTCTATGTATAAAAAAAATTATTAATTGTATAATTTATTACAAATCATCAATGGAAATATATAAATAATATAAAACTCTATAGCACAATCAATATATACTGTGCCTCCACAATGCAGCGAGAGAATATATGAAAGGCAAGGCAAGTAAATTATTGAGAACTTTAGCAAGGCACTCTTTAAATTCAAAGACATGATTTCATGAACCTGTACTCACTTGAAACTTTTTGGGAGAATGATTGCATCCAAAGACTTATAAAGAATGTTATTCTCGCAGGTAATTAAGAATCAATAACAAGTCATCATTAAAAAAAGTTTATGTTTTTATTTTAACAATAATCACTTTCCTGCACTGGTTATATGCCGACCTTCTGCCCAGTCTACACACGCATGTGATCCAAAGATGGCAATTTTGAAATATTTCCATCAATTTCTTGATGGTGGAAGAGCCGTAGAGATTGATACCAATAAATTCTTGTTTCTTTCTTTATTTTTTTATCCTTATAAATCTAGGGTTCTCCAAGCTTATTCTGTATACACATCTAGTTCCAACTCTACCTAGACTTATTTTAATTTATATCTTTTTCAAGCTGCAGATTTTTCTTTTTGCCATGGGAAAATCATACATTAGTCTTAAATAAGAAATTTAATCACTAATAGGTTTCATTTACTAATCAATATGCGCAGTATTTGAATGAAATTTCCATTTACTAATCAACATGTAATAGTAATTAGATGAAATTTCCATTTACTAATAGGTGCCTTTCATATTTACAAGAAATTTCTATGAGTTTTTTCCTTTTATTTGACATCCCATTTTCATTCTCACTTCTTTTAGAAGACTTTTTCAATTATTAAATTATTAATATAGTAATAAATCGTATAGAGAGTTATTGATTAATATTATTCAATTTTACCCCAATTGCAAATCATTAAAAGAAAATTTTATTCTAATACTCATCGAATATTGTGTTTCTATATCTTTTTTCATAAAAAGAACAATTAATTAAAAAAAGTTACATATAATACATAAAGTTGAACAAGGGCTAAGGGAAGGGGGAATTAAATAAAGAATTATCTCATGAGTGGTAGTAAAGGTTACAAAAGACATCTGACTTGTTATTTTATAAACATCCTATTATAGCTTATTTAGAGTGATGTTTATAATGAAGGTAATGGAAGAGTTTCTTTTTGAAATAAAGAAAGATATTCCTTATATAGGTAGGATATCAACAAATGAAAAATCCTTGAGAGAGTATATAGCATATTTGTTTTTTTAAATATATATTTTTAAAAAGAGTAAAATTAGAATATTTTTTAAATTTAAGACAGATTCAATGAATTTATTGCTGTTCCTTAATTTTAAGGTGGTTGTAAATTATTAAATGACTTGTTATAATAAGAATACAAGAGAATATACTAATTTTGTTAACAAAAAAAAAAAAAAACACACACACACACACACATTAATTCTGAGTTTTGACATAAATGCCACTTCGGCAAGTCGGAGATAATGACAGAGTTGATCATGTTAATATTCATAAATGAAGGTATCAACAGCAGCATGACTTACTTTGTTGTCGTTTCTTCTATCATTATATTAATCTAAATTCGTATGAGTTGCTTTTGTTGTCGTTTCTTCTATCATAATTATATTAATCCAAATTCGTTCAAACTATGGGGAAAAGAAAGAAAAGAAAGAAAACAGCATGGTTGTAAACTGCTTGATATAAATTAATTTACAAATTACAAGTAACAGAGGTTATGATACAATATTTCAAATAATCAAGGGTTAATATTCATTTTTACATCTCAACTTTCTCCAAAAGGTCATTGGGCCCTTTAAACCTAATTATGGATTAATTTCGTCCCTCACCGTTAAAGATTGCCTAGTCCTTTATCATCTTGACGTTAACTTGTTGTTACTTCTTAGTTAATGAATACCACATTGTATTTTTTTAATATTTTTTATTACAAAATATTAGGTTAAGAGTCATCTTGCCTCTCAACTTTATCCCAAAGGGTCTGTGGGCACCCTAAAATCAAATAAGAATCATTTTTATCCCCAAATTGCTAAGATTCCATGTATCAATATTCCTATTGTTAACACACTTAAATTTCATTATGTGGGTCCCATTATTTGTGTTTTTAAATATTTTTATTATAAAATATGGGTCCCACCTCTGTTCTCTCCCCTTTCTTCCCTGTCCTCCTTTCCCTCTCTCTCCTCTATTCCAACTTTGCAACGTTCAAAGGGGTAAGGTCGGTGGTGGCCATAGGCAGAGGAAACGAGACTGCTATGAGAGTGCCAACGAGGCATGTTTGTGAGGGTGATAGATGAAGGAGAAGGAGGAGAAAGAGAGGAGCTCAAGGAGGTATGGTCGAAGGAGGAGAGAGCATGTCCTTTGGTGAGCACACCTAAAGTCAGGGACTCTCTCACCAACATCCTACACAATAACACCACTATAAATGTGGCCACTATCTTGTCAATGCATGCCATTAATATCAGCAGGACTAGAAGCTCTATGCTTTAACACCTTTAATTTTCTCCATGTTAGTCTTCAACCTACTTCAAGTAAAGTAAAATGAAAGAAGCAAGCTAGAAATAAAGTCCTCAATCCTCTCTATCAATCCATTCACAAATTACCGCCTTTTGGAATGGTTAACTAAACATGAAGGCCCCGAATATTAAATGGATCCTAATAAGGTCTGTCATGAACCTAAAATCATCACTACTGCCAGAGTCAACCTAACCTCATTAGCCTTCTCCTTTCTCACCTTTACCTCCTCCCTCACATTTTATCTCTTCTCTCTCCCCTCCACCTAAGGTGCTTGCTTTAGAACTAGAGCAAGAAAGTTCTAAGGATGACAAGTATGGCACTATGTTGAGGACGTTAGTGAGCACTATGTCTGTAGTAGCACCAACTTCCTTCTTCCTCACTTGCTCTCTCTTCCATTCCCTTCTCTCTCCAGAAGATGCTTATTGGATCCCTTCTCCCTATTCCTAATTTTTCAAAGACCTCATAGCCCTCTCACTCTCCCTTTCCCTCCTCCTTCTTCTCCCTTTTCCACTTTCTATAAGATCACCCTTACTAGTCTACACATAAGTTCAAATTTCAAGGTAATCAAAATAACAAGTTTCAGGATTATCAAGTTCGTAAAATTACACAAAGGGGATCCTAAGTTCTCAAACCTTTTAAAATCCTATGATGTACTTTCATAAATCAAAATTAAAGTGAAATATATTTATGGAAACATAGGATACCAATTTGTAACAAAACACTTGCATGAAAGTTTAAAAAAAATTTAGTACAAGAAGCAAAGGTGCATAGTAGAATTTCTCCTATGTGCCATAGCACAACCCTCTCTATGCCATACACTACAATGCATTGCACAGGTTTAACAGCATTGTTGTTGTCATTTGATAGTAATAGGGGCGAACTTTCAATGCACCCTAATTCTTCATTCGACGTTCGATTGAGGTGATCTAAGTGTCTAAAGAAACCTTTTAACTTACCCCAAGTCTCTAGCTAATGGCACTTTTTCACATTTAAATAATTTTTCAATCAAAAGTTGGACACCCATTTTCAAATTCACTACTTTTTCAATCAAAACATAACTTAGATGCCAAATTTTCATTACAAGCATCAAAAGCCTAAACTTAACCTCAAACCATACTTAATAAACTAGGGGACACGTGTGTAATACACTAATACATACATATAGCACATCTATGAAATTTTTAATGCTCAGCCCCTTAACAACAAAAATAGAAGGGAAAGTCTCAATTGTATAAAGCTTTATATAATTCATCATCAATCATAAATTTTCTCATTGTAACATTCTCAAAATTTAAGTTTGATTAATTAAGCTTGATTAGAATAATTAAGTTTATTAGTGAGGTGTGTGGCCGAGAGGTCTAATGGGGATGTTTGGTTGTAATTTTAGTTTTAAACGCGGGTTTGAAGTAAAGTCGAGTCACCCAGGTATTAAGGACGGAGAAAATCTAAAGGAGGATATGACATGCACCGCGACTTGTGGTTCATCCTCTGCAACACACGTGAGTGAAATAGCCAAGACGGACTTCTCTGTGCCATACGCTACGGCACATGATATGTCCACTATGGTGCATGATCACTTTTTTATAGAAATAAGAACGTAAAACTTGATGTAGAATATGATAAAAACAATAGAGAAAACGAAAAAAACGGAAGGAGCTCCGTTAGGGCTTAGAGTTTAGAAGTATTTAAAGTATTTTGAAGCTTCTAAACATTAGAGATAAGTTTTTTAGGTTTAAATCTACCTTTCTCTTCCATTTTCTTTAGTTGGGAGTTAGGGTTTAGTTGAGTGTGATGATTTTGGATCCATAGAGGCTATGAGTTTAAAACTATTAACTTAAATAGAGTTAATGTAAGTTAATTAAGTTAATGAAACCTAGAATTTATGGCATTGTAATTGTTAGTGGTTAAGGGACATTAAATACTCAAAAATTCCACCATAAATATGGTAATTGAAGCAATATGGCTCCCTTAATGGTTATTTAAGAGTTCAATGAGGTTAATGAAAGTTAGAGAAAGCTAAGAAACCATATTTTATAATAAAAAATAATCCTTAATTATATTTTATAATAAAAAATTTAAAAAATGCAATACGGGCCCACTAACAATGAAGTAACTATAAGTTAATATCACAGTGATGATGGAGGAAATCTTTAACTTTAGATGGTAGAATTAATTTATAGTTGAGTTTAAGGTGTCCAATAACCATTCGAGTAAAGTTAAAGGGGAAAAGGACTCTTAATCTAATAATCAACTTATCAATTCCAGTTGGTGTAGTTGCTTTTCACCTGTCAATTGGATATTTTAAAAAAAATACTATCAATCAATAATTAGTACTCTTTGCATCTTAGTTTATAAGATACTTTTAAAAAGATTCAACCTCCTAAAATATAAAACATTTTATTAGTGATGCTTTTTTAATATTATCTTTCCCATTATTCTCTCCCTTTGATATTCTTTCATAAGTAGAGTATTAAAATGGATGACATTTTTGGAATTTTATATATTTGTGTTAAATAAATAAGGTTGTAAAATGTATTTAATGAGGTTTATTAGTACATGTGATTTTAGATAAAAGTATCTTATAAATTAGGATGGAGGGAATATTACTAATAATATATTAGTAAGCCAACAAAAGTTTATGCATGTAAAAATTTGGCCCATAAAAGTCATTGGTTTAAATTTATATTTTTTTTAAAAGTAAAATTTTCAAGTATTCGGGCAAGGTCTAAACTTAATAAGGCTTGGCTTGGATATTTTTTATCCTTAAAAAATAAATTTTTTCTAATTAAGTTCTACCCTAAATTTTTTCAAGTTTATTTAGACTAACCTGTCTAGCTTGGCACAAAATACTGGCCATAATTCAAATTTTATTGTTGATGTGAAGATCTTATTTGTGAATAATATGTAAATATCTCTATAAGTATTCTTTAAGTTTGAAGGTATACCATATTTCTAATGAACTCTTGACCAATCTCACCTAAACTATTTTTTTATTTTAAAAAATAAGTCCCATTGAGCCTTAACTATCAATTTTATTCTTTAGATACAGGGCCTTATTTGGTACTTTAGAATTCTTCATGTGGAATCAAAAATGAAAAAGGATTCTTGATTAGAGCATGTTTGGTAGCCATGAATTTTGATTCTTAAGAATCCCAATTCAATCAAAAAACCAGAATCCGATTCTTTCCTAAAGTCAATGGAATCAGATCAATTCATATGGAATTGGCTCTTTAGCCCCTTTTGCCCTTAATGAAATTGTCACATTTGTACCTTAAAAGCTTGCAGCATTGTACTTCCACAATCCACAACCATCATAGATCTATCTTTTTATGTAGATATTCTCCATCTTCTTCCTCTACAATTTTTTTTTAGACCGAAACTTCCTCTTCAATTTTGAGGAGAGATAAGAAACAAAATAGGAGCAACTCTTTTGCAGAAAATGAGAAGCATGGGGAAGAAGAGCAACTCTTTTGTGGGGCTGGGCGGTGACAGGGTAGGGCTAGCTAGAGAAATCACGATTGAAACAATCCTAATCAAGAAGGAGGATGCTGACAATGCCGAGAACACTAAGAATATAGGTAGCCATCATCTTGGGAGCAAATTGTAGAGTAAGTGTAGAGGCCAACCACCATTATAACCAACAAAGGGATAAATAAATTTTGTTCGATTTGCGCGTGGGTTTATCTTGAATATATATGGTTTTTTGTTGATTTGTTTTTCATCTTTATGGTGATCTATTTTTTCATGGGTCCATATTTTGGCGTTGAAGGATAGGGAAAAAGGCAAGGGACAAAGGAGATATTTAATTTTGAGGAAAAGGTATTTTGATCTTTTCTTATATTAAGTACAAATGTTTATTAAAATTATATCAAGATTCTATCATCATACCAAACATATTTTTAAAACTCAATTTTATTTCGATGTCAATTTCAATTTAAATTTTGATTCTATCAAAATCTCTTTTATCATACCAAACGAGGCCTAGTTGTATCAATGATTTGTTACAAGAAAGATTTTTTTAGATCTTGCCTTCTTTGACTTATGGAAGCTATGTCCCCTCGCTAGGATTAAAAATTAGGTCAAAATTCATTTTTTGTCCTGAAATTTTTTGCATAAAGTATGTGGGCATTATGAACTCAATTTTAGGTTATTTTTTCCTTGAACTCTTAAAATTCATTGCTTTGTTATCCTGTCATTCATGGGCGATTTGTTTATCATTATCTACCCAGTTAGAAGCATTTTGTTGACATTTTTTCAGGCCGCGCAGCATCCAAGTAGATGCCTAATTAAAATCTAATAGGATCAGTTTTGCTTTCAAAATATTCGCTTAGGGACAACTAGTGTCCTGACTTTATTTTTTGGGTTATTTTTCCCTTTTAAACTTTTGAAAGAACCTAACTATACATGTCCTGTTGAATGCTAGGTGACTGAAAAAAAAAAAAGCAATAAAATCATCCCACCTAAGCAAAAATGATTATCAAGTAGTGCGTGAATGGCATGACAATGAGGTGTCAAATTTTAGTAGTTTAGCAATAAAAATAATCTAAAATTAAATTTAACACACTACCCTACGTGAAAATTTTCAGGGCAAAAATGACATTTTTTCCTTAAAATAAGCCAATAAATAATGCTAAATTCAAACATATATGAATAATGGAAGGTATGATGGGAACAAAATTGGTAAAATATATCATTATCCGACATTTTAGATCAAACAAGAGTTTTAAAAATGGAGTATGAGATTTAATAAGATTTTTAATAAAAAAAATAACGTTGAGCAAAATCAAAATTTTGTGGGAGTTAGATGCTTCTAACCTCTGGCCCAAAGAGGAGATACCTTATAACTTTTTTTTTCAGGGTTAAAAGAGGATTTGCGTAGGAGGAATAAACCTCCACCAAGTACAGTGGTACCCAGTAGCAAGTACCAACAAAGGACCCGTCGTCCCTGGTGTTAGAACGCGATCGACATATTTCTTTATTTCCTATTTGTCCCTAGTTCCCAAATGCGTGTCACAATTTTCATTCGTTGACCTCGAAGGCCTAGCTGTAATTCCCTACACCGCTTCATACCCTACCCGACTACCCGTAGTTACCCCGGATATTAAGCCTTCTTCCCTGTCAACCTTCATCACGTGCCGCCATCGTTTCTCTCTGAGGGTCAACCGGTCAAGTATGACGCCCCGCACCAGAAGCCAAACCCACTCCTCAACTCTTTCGAATTTCTGGCAATCAAACAAATTCAATTGAAGTCATAACCGTTTGTTTTAATTCCCGAATTGTAAAAAAGAAGAAAAAGGGTGTCTTTTCCCCCGCATTTTATAGGAATCTGATTCCCGGGTGTTGTCTTCTGACACTTTAATACGATTTTACGTAATCGAATGCCGATACGCATTAACTGTTTGTGAAAATGCGTGAAGGGCTATAAGTAATTTTGTCTGTGTTTATTGTTGTCCTTAAATTCGGGGATGTGATTTGAGGCTAGGAATGGTCAGACATGGCTCGGGACGGGAGCGTTGTGCCGGCCGACCCGCAGGCTCTGGTGGCTGTGAAGAAGAAAACGCAGTCATCAAGGAGTTGGATTCTTTTCGATTCCACAGGTCAGGGCTCCATTCTCGACGTCGACAAGTATGCCATCATGCATCGAGTTCAGATTCATGCTCGTGATCTTCGGATTCTCGATCCTCTACTCTCCTACCCGTCTACGATACTGGGTCGAGAAAAAGCTATTGTTCTTAACTTGGAGGTACCTTCATCAGTTTCGATATTCCACTCTGTTTTCTCTCTCACTTTAGTTGTTCTGTTTTCGGGATTAAGTTCCGGTCATGATTTAATTATTCTTTATTTGTTGTGATTTTGGGATTTCAGCATGTCAAAGCAATTATTACTGCTGAAGAGGTTAGTCAATTTTCTTTGTTTTGACGATCTTCTTATTGACCCTTTTTCTGTTATGACTGATGAAAAAATAAGATAATAAATAACTTTGGCAAATTAAATAAATCTGGAAATTGGAAAAGAAGCACTTTATAAATCCTATTCCTTTATTGAAGTAATCTTTAGTCTTTATGTGCACCTAATGTTCTTTGATAGGCCTCAACTTCAACACCTGTTTCTTTCAGAAACGGATATGGACTAGCCATCAAATAATTTGTATAAGGAATTTCTGGTATAAGCCATGACTTAGTAGCTACTTCGGGAGGAACTTCCACTGATTCATCAATAAGGGCTAGTCTGCATGGCATTTTTGGAGCATTTTACTAATGCATTTGATGGGAGGCTGGTGCGTGAATGAGTGGAAACAAAAGATAAAATGTTTACGATTTGTTGAATTGTGTGTGTATCTTCTATCAAGTTCGTTGATGTAAATGATTATGAAAACAAAGAACTACGTTTTAGCTTTTTTTACGCATGAATGTAAAGCCTTGATATTATGGAACCTCAGGCTAAAGTATTATAAGTTAAAATACTTGCATGGACTTGCTGACTTGAATTATGCTTAATAGCCACAAAAATGGATACTGATAAAACGAGTATAATTCAACCTCAGGAAGTTTATTAACTATCTTCTCTGGCCTGGTTCATCTATTTACTAGTGTATTGTACTTTTTGCGTTTTTAGAGCATAAAGCTGTTTCGAGAAATTGAAATTGTAAATGTAACTAAACTGCTGGGTAGGTTTTGCTGAGAGATCCAACAGATGAAAATGTGGTCCCTGTTGTTGAGGAACTTCAAAGACGATTGCCTGATGCAAGTTCCAATAATGTCCAAAGAGGAGAACGTAAGGAGTATTCTGCTGGACAGTTTGACATTGAAGCAGCTGAGGAAGATGGTATGCTTTTTTAATGAGCCATGAGTGATAGCTTGCATCTTGACTGTTTCAATCTTTGAAGTTTGTCTTCTTTGTTACATAGTATTTATTCCCTTATTATTTTCTATATGAGATATTTTCCTCAGTCATTGCTTTTACTTTGGTATCTGAATGATCTAGATTATACAATGTAGAGTCACCCTTTGAATTCCGTGCCCTGGAGGTGGCTTTAGAGGCCATTTGTAGTTTCCTTGCAGCACGTACAACAGAATTGGAGATGGCTGCTTATCCTGCATTGGATGAACTTACCTCCAAGGTAAACATATATTTGATGCCAAAACATACATCTGGCCCTTAATCTTGTGTGAAGTTCCATTTTCTTCCTTCGCCTTTCAATATATGATCAACGATTTTCATAATTTAATTATGTGAGAATTACTAATGATATTATCCTATGTGTCATATTTTCATTCTGCTTGTATAGGATGTCTGGTGAGTACTTCTCTCTGAAGTAAGTCTGAGGAACACATTGATATATTATTTTGAAAGCTTAATGATGTAATTTTCCATTCCAAGTAAATTTTATTTAAAGTGAAGATGCAAAAAGTTTCCTTAAATCTTCTGGTTTATAATCAGCTTTGTCATCTTTTCCCTGGTTATTTGAAATCCCCTTTCTCTCAAAGATTTAACGAGCAGTGTCCAAGTACCCGTGTCCTTTGTTGGAAGTGATTGATGAGATTTTTCTTTAAAACTCGTTTGAACATCTCCACTTTTTTTATTGTGTTATTATTTTCATGATAGATTGCTTCAAGATTTCTTGTTGGTTGTGGGGTGTATGATATAATTCAATGATTAGATCTCTGAAGGAATCTGTTTCATATTCCTTTGTGTAATTTTTAGTTTTTGTTCTATCTTCTGACCTTTTTAAACTGTCGTAATCTGCAGATTAGTAGTCGTAATTTGGACAGGGTTCGTAAACTAAAAAGTGCAATGACTAGACTGACTGCTAGGGTTCAAAAGGTATGTCTCAAACCCTGTATTTTGCTGTGCTGCTGAAAATTCTGTATCTGATGATATTCAGCACAATGGCGTCATATAATTCATGTTATTGTTGTTCATGATGATGATGATGATATTCAGCACCTTCTGCCTACTGATGGCATTGATGCTTTGGAGTTTTAACAGATATTGGGGAGGGGTGCTTTATACTTGCATGATGGTGAATGAGTGTATGAGAAAATAACAGTCATGCCTTCATATGCATTGGGACTGTCTCCACTTAGGTTGTGTCCTCTACACCTCCGCTTCATTAAAATCTATTGGTTGCTTTGATCAAAAAGCATTCCACAAGCAACATTGTAGCTCAGTTGGCTGACCCTTCTCTCTTCTCAACTCAACATTGAAAGTAAAGAAGACTACCTTCATCCGACAACATAGGCTGGTTCAACAAAGGACTTCATGTGTGTGTGTGTGTGTGTGTGTGTCCTATATATATATATATATATGGAGAGAAAGATGTTTTCATGTTTTCCCTGTGAAATCTCTTAACCCACAGTTTTGAGCTGTTTGATTTCATGTATGGATATGCGTAGCTGTTATCTGCAAATGAAGTAAGTGTAGTGTGGTTGTGTGTGTGTGTGTTGATTCTAAGGAATTCACATGACAATGGTTCTTGTGTTGGTTCTTATGATGTGTCAGAACACTGGCATGGTTAGGGAGGCCACCACAGTTCCTTTGACCACCATGGCCATGTTTCTGGCAGTGAAAAGTTATCATTTGGAGGGGCTCATCTGTTTTCAAACAGATTGAAGCACTTATACCACCACCACCTTGATGGGCATGGACGTGGTTTTTTCTTGGAGGAGAACAAGTGCGAAATGCACAAGGAGGTGCATGATGGTGATGATGATGGTGAGACGAAGGTGGATGAAGAGCACCATAGTGGTGCTGATGACTTCTGCACTCTAAATGTTGAGGAGGGAAAAAGTTTGCACAGAACTGCAACATGATTTGCATAATGCTGTTTGATCAAAGCAGCAGATGGATTTTAATGCTCTTCATCTCAGTTTTCTAGATTTTTCAATTTTGGGATGTTTGTTTTCAAAGCCAGTTTTGACCAACTCGTCTTGTGTCAAAGTTGTGTTTTTTTGTCAGATATTAAAGGTTTTGGAGGGATTTTATATATATATATATATTCTATAATAATTTTACTTCCTCTTTTAGTATGACTTCTAGTCTTTTTTTCTGCCAGCCCTTTTTCTTAAGGTAAGGAATAGAGAAGGGAAGATGTATGAAACAGAAAGTTAATTCACTTCCTTGGTTCCTGTTGAAGCCTATCAATTATTTAGAATAATGTTACAAATTAGAAGATGTATGAAACAGAAAGTTAATTCACTTCCTTTGTTCCTGTTGAAGCCTATCAATTATTTAGAATAATGTTACAAATTAGAAATGTTAAAGGATTAAGGCTAATGTTTTAAATATTTATTGTTCAGTTGATTCTAATATTTGAAATTTTTTCTTTTATTTTTTAATTCTAAAATGTGTGGTTCTAGTATAATCATTAACTTAGATGTTTCTATTGTGTTCTTATGTATGCACTTTTTTTGTTGGGTGGAATAGAAAATTTTTCTTCTCGTGAACTATAAAAATTACATCAGGAAAACAAATCTGAAGTCTCAATGTACTTAGTATAGTTTCCTGAGTGTTGTGGTGCTGATACCTCTTTCTCTGCAATGATTCTCATCCTTTCTGCCCAACATACAGAATATCTTTATCATGTCTTTTTTATTTGAGTTCTACTCTTCATTGTCCCTAACAACGTTGTCTCTCAATGTGGACAGTGGGCTTAATAAAGCTATGTGGTAGTATGTACTCCCTAGATTAGTTTTAAATGGAATACGATATTCCTCTTACATGTTCTTGTTAATGCAGGTTAGAGATGAACTTGAACAATTACTGGATGACGATGATGACATGGCTGACCTATACTTGTCAAGAAAGCTAGGCTCATCTTCCCCAGTTAGTGGATCAGGTGTTGCCAATTGGTTTCCTGCCTCCCCCACCATTGGATCTAAGATATCCAGAGTGAGTAGGGCAAGTGTGGCAACAATGCGTGGTGATGAAAATAATGTGGAGGAACTTGAAATGTTGCTGGAGGTGACAAGATAATTTACTTTCAGAATAAAGAAACAGGAAGAAAACTTCCATTTATATATATAAAAATGTGTTGAATGTTAATTTATTTTGCAGGCATACTTCATGCAAATTGATGGAACATTGAACAAATTATCCACGGTAAGTGACTGGAGTTTGGTTTTAGACTACTAAGCATCTTAAGGTTTGACCAACTTAAAACCGATAATTTGTCTATGTGTCAATCTCTGTATTATTGGGAAATTGTTCTGGTAGAGGATGGATTAGATATGCCTCTGCTTCTTTTATTACTGTTTAAACTGAACCTTTTACCTTTCTACTCAAAATTTTGTTTGAAAGTTTCTTTTTTCTGGGATAATGACAGTTCTCCCACTGTAGCTGTAACTTATGAGGATGTCCTCAGTTTATGTATGTCTAAATTGTTAGATTAGCGATTCCGTCAAAGTTTATTTGGTTGAGTGATCACAGATTCAATTTGATATGAATTATGTTTTGCCCTCTTATTTCTATTTTCTTTAGTGTTAAGAATTGATTCTTCTTGTATCTTTATTGCATAAAGGTTGGGGCTTTTTAACGGGTGTGCTAAGTTTACAGCAACAAATTACAAAATTGAAGAAAAAGCACCTATATTTTGTCAGGAAAGACACATCAGATTATGGTACTTTAAGTTGTAGCGTGCCAGTGTATTGTATGCGTTGGTTAGAGATTTTGGTTTTCTATTTCTATTCCCCATGTCAGCTTTTGTTTTTTGTTTTTTTAATTTTTTCTAATGGTTTAGTTTCTTTCATTCCTTGATGTGTTGTTCTTTTGTTAGTATTTTTACTTTTTATTGTGATGCTAGGAAGCCTGTAGCTTTTTTCCTTGTCTTTGAAGAAATTGATCTTTTGTTTCATTAATTTTGGAAATCCACATGGCTTGAGATGAAAAGACCGGAAATTAATGAATATATTGTGTAAGTGATCTTTGATATCAAACATAAGAATCTTCGTGCGGAAGAATTTCTGGGTTATATCACAATTCATGCTGATCTTGAGCCGACTTGTGATGTTCCCTGTGCTGCTTAAGGGGTGATCTTTGCGATCAAACATAAGAGTGAGCAAAACTGCTTTGCGAAAACTCTCTTGTATTACTAATCTGTGCAAATGATAGTGATCCATCACTGCAACATTTTGTGACTAAGCATCGTTGTGCTTGTTTAGAGAAGCATGAACTTCGTCGGACTCTGAATGTCCTTCACTATTATGCTGATTCACTGTTAGACACTCTTGATGTCTGATTTAACCCCTATAGGAGTCTCGTATTCTGGATTTATTTGGGCTAACAAGTTTAACTTACCTTATGTCTGCTTTACCTCCAATAACAATTACCATTGATTTGATTTTATAGATCTGTTAATTACAAGACGTCAGGTTTTAATCTGTAAACTGACATATTTTTCTTATTTCCCCCCTTTTTATTCATTTTCATTTGCAGCTCCGGGAGTACATTGACGATACAGAAGATTATATCAATATTCAGGTTACTCAGTACCATGTTATTTATACTTTTTTTATTGTCATTGTATGAGTGACACTTATATGAGCCAAACTTTCCCATTTTGCAGCTTGACAACCATCGAAATCAGCTAATCCAGGTGCTCTTCAAGTTCCTGCATTGTGCTTGTCATTTGTCATTATTCTGTGATTTAACGCTTTTGTTCTGAGTGGCTTATCCTTTGGATTTAATCTTGTTATCACTGCAGTTAGAACTGTTTCTGAGTTCAGGAACTGTCTGTCTGTCTGTCTATTCTTTGGTGGCTGCAATATTTGGCATGAATATCCCATACACGTGGAATCACCAACATGGTTACATGTTCAAATGGGTATGCAGACTATTGCTTCTTGCACAGACACGTGTGTGTTTGGCTGTAATTTTTTTTTTCAGTGACATTTAGCATAACGATTATCTTCTACATTGGCAGGTAGTTATTGTTACGGGCTTATTCTGTGCAATTATGTTTGTCTGTATAATTGCCTATGCTCGTAAAAAGGGGTTAGTAGGATCGTGAAACATTGATCAATATACGGGAAATGTGTTGGGTATAAATCAAGAACACCTACATACTGTGTGGTGATCATTGGTGAGAGATTTTCTTTTTTTATTGGAGGTGATTCAAGATTTTGTTCTCGAGTATAATAAATGTTGAAGGATCCAGTGAGAGCTATCCAACCTCCCTAGGAATATGGGTTCATAAATTGATATAGACAACTTTTTTTTTGTCCTGGCACTAACAAGGCTTGAATTCGGAGTCCAAGTTATGAATTCAGGTTGAGTTGAATTGTTGATAGTCATTGCATTGTATACTTTGAATATACACTATTTTAATTAAGCATAAAAAATGGGTCCATTAACGAGTGAAATATGCCATTGCTTTCCTATCTTGAAGGATTCTCACATGAACAATTATACTTTTCTATGAAGGATTGGAGTAGGAGAAATGGGATTAATATTGCTTCTACAGAATTGGGGTTCAAGGGCTGGGGACTTTTACGTTTTCTTGTCAAATAACTTGAAGCTTTCTTTTAAATGCCTTAATTTGTAAGATTTTAGAGCATGTCATTTGTTGTTGGGATTTGGGATGGTTGTTGCTATGGTTGCTTATATTTGTGATTAGTACGTTAAAAAAAGGGAGCATATGTATGGCACACATATATATATATATATGGCCCACGGTAAATCAATTCAGGAGCTGCATTCAAATTGATGACAAGTTCTCGTACGTGATTTGCTCTTTCGGTTTTGTTTGGTGGAAATGTCATTTTGATTGAAAAGAGTTAAAATCGAATTAAACAGTGTTATTTTTTTGAAAAAAAGATTAAATTTAGAGAACTGATGTTTCATGAATTAAAGTGTGACACTTTAGCAAGTCAAGTTGATATAAGGGGTTAAAGCCTTTACTTTCTTAATAACTGGTTAGAAATTTGACTCCGAAAGCTACTGTATAAAACAAATTTTTTTTTTATGGGTGAGACAACTGGAGTGATTTATTAAAAATACAGTTAAAATAGGCCTGGCAATTCGTTATATTCTTATCATCAAGTTTCCAATTTAAATTTTAAAAACGTAAAATTTATTAATTAAAGCATGCTAAGTGTAAGGTTTAATTAGAGAATTATACGCAGCTTAACATATAACAAGTTGTATTTTGCGTGAGAAGAGAACATTAACCTTAAAAGTGTCTCTTTTTTTTAAAAAAAAAAGATAAATATATATATTAAATTAAAAATATAAAAAGATACAAGCAAAAAAAAAAAAAACCTTAAAAGTATCTGAAGTTTCTCATCTTTTTGATAATGCACGAATATGCCTCAACACCATTTATATACATGTATATATATAATTGTAGCTCAATATAACTTGACATCACCCATTAGGTGTTTCCCTCTTCATTTGATGTTCGTCCAAAAGTCTAATTCATTAGGTACTTCACTCTCTCCTTCGCGTGTTTCGTCAAGCATGCTCTGACTCATTCAAACACTCTTAATGTTAAAAATGATGATGTCGATGATGTCTTGTTTGGATGTGTCTCTTTACAATAATCAAGTAAAAATGAGTCTTAGATTTTTTGCATACTTCTCCTTTATTATTTTCTTGAGACATTAAATGTTATAATGGCTTTCCTTGTATTTTAGGTTTTATGGTCATGGCCATACGTCATGAGTTTTAGCATTTACATAATGAGGTCTTAAGTTCTAGTTTATGTTTTTATTTTTAATATCATTCCTATCATAAGTATTAACAAGCAATTCTTTCATCACAGTTTATAAGTAAGAGTTTTATATTAAACTAAATTTAAAAGCATCATTATTTTTTCTTTTATATATATATATAATATGAATTGCAAACGTTATTATCTTTTAAAAGAAATAATAATAATCTCTGGCAAAAATAGTAATAATAATGCTAATATTATATGGGTTGGTACTCTTGCTTTTTTTTTTGGGCCCAAAAACGGCCTTTTATCATTACAAAAAACGTGTAATAACAACAAGCGTTATGTACGAAAACGACACTACATGCGATGTAACACGTTGCGTTTTGTGTGAAAAGATGGCTTGACCTTGAGGAGTAACCGAAATCTACCAATAGACAAGGGTTAGAAAAACTAGGGGCAGCCCCAATTTGAGTCACAAACATAGCTCAACCTCATTTCTATCAAACATTATATCTCATTCTTTAGGTATTTCTCTCTTCTTTATTTGTGTTGTTAATTATCACTTGATTCTTTATTCAATCATGTTCTATTTAACTTATTTTCTTTGAGATTAAAATATAGGTCAACGTTATTTTAGCGTAGGAACAGAGAAAAAAATCCTTTTACTAGGGTTTTTATGTAAGTGCGCGATTGAAATTTAGGAGTGTAAAATATTATTTTTTTTAAAAGTATCTATCATATTGATCAATCGATTGATCTTGCAGTATGATATACATGACATTATCAAAGATAAAATTTTAATCTTTTCTTAACGGCAACAAAGGTAATGAGGAAAAATAAGAAAGTTGATTAAACATAATTATTTATATGCATGCAAGTAAAAATTTATGTGTGCCTATTGTTAAAAAAAAAATTACTAAATTTTATAATTGTGTAATTGAAGATTGCAAGTAGATCAAACTGTGAAAGAAAATCAGAGAAAGGCAAAATTGACATTCATAAGAGAAGAATCTTAGCCAAGATTTGATCTAGTCAAGGTACTCACTCTTTCCTTCTATTTGCTCATTCAAGAATTAATTCTATTTTAACATGAATTTGATAGTAATTACTCCTTTATTCTTGCTTAGCATGTCTATTTTAATGGGCATTGAAGTGAAAATAAACTTTCACCAAGAACCTAGGAGCATGGATGACGGATAGTGATCTTCCTTGCTATAATCCTCTTAGGAATAAGTAATTATCTATTTTCCTTGCAAACAATCGGATAATTTTTTTTTAAAAAAAAAATTCATATCATTACGAGGGGTGGATTTGGAGTTTAATGGTTTGGGGGTCAAATTGAAGATAAAATAAAGAATGCGGGCCAAAATCCATTTTAAACTATTTTACAAATTAAAAAAACATAATTTTTACCAAAGGCCAAATCATGTATGGGGGGCAAGAAATACAGAATATAAGTTGCACTATTTACAAGTTTTCACATTCCATACAATAAAGGGGAGGTCTAGCTAGCTATTAAGAAAACGAAGTTGTCCTCGTTCCTTTGCTTGAGTTCTTATTATATTCTCCAATTTTCTATTGGTAGAGTTGTTGCTCAATAAACCATGTTGTATCTTCACAATAAATCCTTCTCTTCTTTCTTACACAAGGGGGAAAATATAAACTTTGAAATGTTGAATCCATTCTTTCAATAATTATAAGTAACCTTTGTATTATATCATAATCAATTGAAAGAAATCTCGAGTAGATATATACATTACATATTGGATGTTTGGACCAAGCAGCTTAATGAGTACCAGAATATGAAAAATGTGGTAACCTGAACATGAAACTTACAACATCACTCCAACCTTTGACTTCATCAAAGTAATTGATCTTGAAAGCCTAGAACCAAAATAGTTCAAGTTACTGGGTTAGGATATCTTTACTTCTTCATAACTAGATATATTTTTCTATATGAATTATATCAAACGTGAGATAAGTCGTACAACTTGTGGCATGTTATGTTCGATGCTTGTATTATATCATCTTATAAGAACTAATTATCTGTGCTAATTAAGTCACTAATATGAAACAAATCCTCGTTTAAACCTTAACACATATGTAACTACAGCCAAATTATACACACATACATTAGATATCCCATTTTCTAGTGGTGAAGTAAAACTATATAATTTGCTTCAAGTTAACTAAGGTTCGCTAGAAAAACCTGTGTTTGACTTACAGGGGATGTTCGTACACTCAGAAGAAAAAAACTTCACTTCTGTATATTATCATTAGAAGTATATATAAACATCATATAAATATTCAAAAGTATCATCTAAAATGTTACGTGAGAGACCTTGTGTCTCTATCTCATCTCCCTTCAAAACGCAATTCATAACCTGCATTTCTCTCATCCAGTTCCACCCCTTGTGACGGTTCAAGGTAATAATCTGCTGATCATTTCATAAGTTTAAGCAACAGAATTATGATTAATTAGCAGCGTACGTTTTAGGAAATTTATATGCATTTTCTTTATTTTATGACATTTTCAATAATGACGTTACCTTCAAATTAAACTTCAATATCATATTTATCAGAATTTCAATTCTTTTCCTGTTCTTTCTGGGGAATTTGCTGCTGCGATGGTGCTCTCAATCAGTATATCATTACTTAGATTTCATATGATAATAGGTATGCATGATCCAGGCTGTTCAAGTCTAGACATCCATGTGAACAAATGTACTTAATTATTAACAAGACTTTTTGTTTTTGAATTTGTATATTTACAGAAGTTAAAATTATATGTAAAAGATGACACAGATTTTGAAAATCATGGGAGATTCTTCTATATCTTCTCCTCGATCGTTAGTAAAAAGTTGAGATATTTAATGTTGTCTTTCTCATAGTACCTCCGAAGTGACATGAAGTGATGAAGTCACTTACAACCTACAAATATAGTTTGAATTCTCACTTAATCTCAAGAAGAGGTCAATTTTCTAGTTTGTCTCTATAACTCAGTCTTGGCCTTTCCATGTGAACATAAGGCATGCTTACATTGTGAGGGATCAGGGACGGATCCAGAACCAAGCCAATGGGGGGCCAAAATACAAAACTACACTATAGTGGGGGCCAAAATTAATTTCAACATTTTTAACTCAAAAAATTAAAGTAATTTTAGCAAAATTTCCATACAGTGGGGTGCTTGCCCCCCTTTAGATCCGTCTCTATAAAAGTTTGATTTTTTGCTATAACAACATTTTGTTATAAGAAGAGAGATAAATACGTAAATAAGGTGAAATTACCTGACATACTATACTTATTTTACTCATTTGTCTATCTCTTTTCTTACAACATGCATGGCATTGCTGTAGTAAAATTTCAGATCCCTACACCCTACTTTGTAACTATTTGGATTTTGGAGAGATCAAAATCAACATATTTGGAGACAAAACGTTCACGTAGAGGTGTCCTGAATATGCCTGTATTTTCCAATCTCAATGATTCTCAAAAAGAGTTTGAGTTAACCACTGGTGAATATTAAAAAAGAGTTAGTCAATGAGTCATGAAGATATGCCTTGTACTTGTAAGATCATATTCCCCTTTCTTCTGATTTATCTCAGCTAGATATTAAGACTCATGCATTATACAAATTTAAAGTGTGGACTATTCACACTTTGTAGGTAATATATGAGTTGCTATAAACTGTATGGCTCATGAATTTTTGGATGTAGATGTTAGATTATAAAATGCTATGTATATGTGTGTTTGCGTGTTACACCGTAGAGAAAATCTAGTTCTTAGAACACACGAGTAGACAAACACGACAAACACGGAGACTTTGTTGAAAGAAATTATATTTTTTTGTTTTTCAAGATTTTGGGAAATTATAAAGGTCCTCAAAATTATAAGCTTTTCAATTTCATCCCCTAGTTATTTATCTCAAATATATGATGGAATAGTTATAGTACTTAGTAGCTAAAAAATAATATAAATATATACATAATTGATAAAAATACATGCATATGTACGGGTTTGACATGTAATTGCTAGGGATTATTATTTTATACATTAAAATAGACATCATGAATAAGGACTACATTGAATGAATAAAATATTAGGAGGTGGAATCGAGAAAATTATTAGGTATTGATAAAAATAATTCCGAAGACGACAGGGCCACGTTTGTCAACGACTTCTTTCGATAACACATAGTGTCGTCGTCGTTCTCACTAACATCTCTATCGTATAAGAGCCTTCACCTCAAGAAAGCTATATGCTCTTTGTCTTCTGAGCCTCGAACAGATCAATAACTCTTCACTCTCATTGCTCAAATCGAACAACACACACGTCCACTACCCCAAATCCAAAATTCCCGTACTTTATTTTTCTTTCTTTCTTTCTTCTTCTTCTTTCCTTGGTTCAATCCTTTTACAGCATGGGATTCTGAGGGATTCTCGAACCCTTGGCTTTGGTTGGTCGTGGCTGCTATGTTTTCTTGTAATTTTCCTGGGACTTTTCGTCCTTAATGGTGGAAAACGTCGTGATTTCTTGCTTTGTTGGTGACATGCACCATGCGAGTACGTGAGTAAGGAGGTGTTTTGCGCGTTTGTTATGTGTTTGTCGTTTTTAGAGACGGCGATGGAGGACCAGAGAAAGAAGAACGTGACAAAGACAGAGGAGCGAACCTCGAAGGTCAGGAGGGCGAATATCGTTCCATGCTTGACGTGTCCTTTGTGTAATAAATTCTTCAGAGACGCCACCACTATATCAGAATGCTTGCACACCTGTAAGTTCCTTTCTCTCTTCTCTCTCTCTCTCTCTCTCTCTCTACCTCTCTGTTTCTCATGTTCTGTTTCAGCCATACATTCTGATATTTCTGTCAATATATGAGTTCTACCTTGTGAATCTTTCCTTATTCTTGATTTTTGTATTTCACTTGTGACGCTTGGAACATGAGAAGTTTAACTTTCCAAACACTGAAAAGCCTATTTATAGAATATTTAGATATTGATTTCAAAGTGCACGGGAAAGTAAAATGCAATCCACTCGTATTGATTCTTGAGGTTCTTATTTTTGGCCTGATGTTCTAAGTTTCAGTCTGTTTCTTCTGATATCTTGGTGGATTTCATTGAACTCTTTCTGGCATTAAGCATTGTGTGCCAAGTAATTTGTCTAAAATTAACCGTAATTTTTTGTTATTTATGGATGATATGGTAAACTTAAAGTAGCATTACCCTTCCATGCATGATATGTCTTTACGTCAGTCTCTCACACTTCAGTATTGCCAATTTGCCAAAGATTAAAGTACTTTCATGTTTAATAGAATTGCCGATTTTTGCCTATGGACTGCTTCCATGCAGCATATTCTCAGGGATGTTCTGTGTATGTATGTATCAATTTGTTCGTGAATTTCAGTGTAGCTTGTTCATGACTGTCTTCTTGCAATTATGATTTAGTATGTACAGGAGTCATAGTCTTCAGGAAAGGCATAATTGATTAGCCTCTGGGAATCTAACTTTTGGGAATCCCTTTATTTTTTTGCTCACTTTTTATCGCTGCTTCTGTTGTTACTGCTTATGATTTCACTTCTTGCATTTCATGAGCATATTTTTATTGCATGGTATTGGTAGAAACTTTATCTTGACCTCGTTCCTCTTTCCTTCCTCAGTAATGTTAAATGAATGAACGTGTGATAAATACATTGCTTCATTAGAAGTTAGAATATTACTTTGAAGCTTTCTAAATTTCAAATTCAATTGCAGTTTGCAAGGAATGCATATGGAAGAAGTTCAGAGATGAGCGTCAGACGCATTGTCCAGTATGCGATAAAGACCTGGGTTGTTATCCGCTGGACAGACTAAGGCATTCACCAATACATAACTCTTCCTTTGTTAAATGAATGCAGCTTAGTCTATTAATCTCTCTACTGTAGCAGTTGCTCTTGGATCAATGTGTGGATATTGCAGCTCTAAGAGAATTTACTATTTTAGCTTACTTACAAGTTAATGGCCGATGAATATGTTGTTACAATTATTTGACTTCCGATGTATTACTATGTAGTGATATGGTCAATTAATGTTCATATGCAAATGAACTGCTTAAACTTGAATTGGGCTGATTTAGAATTCTAGAATTTGTGGAACCTAAAATGTATGCCTCACCCTCCCTCAACCAACCCTTTTCTTAGTTTTGATCAAGTATTATTTTGGTTGAGCTTCTAGTGAAGTAAACTAGGATAGAAGCTCAGGTTTACAGAACTGAATTGATCATTATGCTGATTGAGATCAAATTTTCTCTGCAAAATAAATAATAAAGGGTGAAACTGTTAATTTTGTAAGTTCACGTGCCTATCTTTTACTAAAGTTTGAAGTTTAGTCATCCTACCTATTATTTTTCCTTTGGAATTTCTCTCTTCCCGTAATTTTACTTGCATTTTGCTCATTTCTTCATCCTTTTGCTAATTTACAGGGCAGACCACACTCTTCAAGACTTAAGGGATAAAATTTTCCCTCATGAGGAAAAAGGTGTGAGGGAGAAAATTTTCCCTCGTGAGGGAAAAAGTGCCAAGGCACCTGAAAGTGTGCCTTTGCCTTCCTTTCTATTGCCATCCAATTCCAAGAAAAAGGAGAGGTCTGTCTCTTCATTAGGTTCCAGTTCAACTCAGCTATCAAGCCATTCTTGTCTAGTTGAAAGAAGGGCAAAAACCGCTGCGAAAAAATTTTTGGCTGAACAAGAATCTGCTCTCAATGCCTTTGAGTTAGAGAAAAAATCAGCTGGTAAGAAACAAGGAAGACTCAATGAGGTAGAAATTTTGGAAGGCTCTCCCAAAAATTTATCAAGAGCAAAGTCTTCAGCAAGGAAAAAACCCATTTCAAGAGAATACATTCCCTCTACTAGTCAACCTCAGCCACAGCAAGTCGCAGAAGATAGCAAGACAGACCAGCAGCACTGTCAGCTTGAAAGTGAAAATGTGACGAGTGAAATTGAGGTAAAGAAAAAGCTCTCCTTCTTCTCTCTAATTTTTCCGGGTCTGTTTGCATTCCATGGTACGCCAACTTTGCCATATTTTATTGAAAATCTGATGGGAAACACTTATAGATAGTCCCTCTCTTTATTAGATATTTTCAAATCTTTGCTTTGATACATGACTGGTTTCCTGTCCAATTATGTATTAGAATCCCAAGGCTTCCTTAGATTTGAACCAGCAAGAAGTGCCCAATGAAACTTCTGAGAAAAATGCTGCGTCATGGAAAGGAAAAGATCTTTTGTGGGAGCCCTTACACTTCCTGATGGAAGCTGCACAAAAGGCAAAGTCTATGGGGGCCAACAATGTGCAAGAAAATGCTACTATTGCAGTGCCTGTTGAATCTTGCAACAATGACTCCAATCCTACCAAAATTATGGCAGCTAGTGATCAAAATGAGGCAACTCCAGTTCAATCAGATCCCATCAAAACTAAGGGATTGAGGATCAAACAACAAAGAAGAGTCAAATTTTCTCAGGACTTAAATTTTCCTGCAGAACCTGTACCTGCTGTTTCAAGCAACCCAGTACCTGCTGTTTCAAGAAGCCCTGTACCTGCTGTTTCAAGCAGCCCAGTACCTGCTGTTTCAAGCAGCCAAAGCAACGAAAGAATCACTCCGATATGGTTTTCTTTAGTTGCTTCTGAAGAGAAGTGAGATTCCATTTCATGGAGCTTCTATTATTTATATCTTGAATTATTTTAGCCTTCAAGTGTTGAGTATCTGAGACATTAATTACTGGTTCCAGGGATGTACGTGCAAGATTGCCACAGATGCCTTCTTGCTACCTGAGGGTTAAGTGAGTATTATTGTCCCTCTTATCATTGCCTTCCAAGTATCTAAACTAAATTTCATGACATATTTCTTTATCTTCTTGGTTCTTCTTTGGTAAAGAGCAAAACTTGTATATCTAATTTATATACCCCAAATCATGCCATTTGTCTATCTTGTAATGTGCAAAAGAAAAGTTGGTGACTGTCAGCACTCAAAAGACCCTTTGCAATTGTCTGATTTTCTTTATTGTCTGTTTAGGCTACATTTATTGTTAATTCTTGTATTGTTCATAATTCTTTAATTTTTGTGAAAAACATTCTGATCTTATTTCTCTAGATAATCACTGCATTTAAAGCGTACTGCTTCAGAAAATCTGGTTTAAAACCTCAGTAATATTTGGAGCTCATATTTGACCAGTGGCTTGGTAATCCATAATTCACAGTCATTGGTCTGAAAATTGAACTCATCATAAGCATGTGTGTGAGAATTCTTGTGTTCTATTTAGTGCAAAATTCTATATGCTGTACAGAACTGAATGCCCAGAGCAGCACGTGTGTGTGTGTTTGTGCGAGTCACAATGTTGTCTGATTAATCTCGAAATTTGTATAGGGATGTCAATTTACCTGTATCATTCATCAAGAAGTATATAATGAAGAAGCTTGATCTTGCAAGCGAAGCTGAGGTGAGTCCATTTTGAGTGATTACCAATTCTGATGTCTCTAATCTCTATAAAAACATATGAACCAGTAACCTCATTTATCAGAATCTGATTGATCCCACTGAATATAACTGGTACAGGTGGAAATCTCATTAAAAGGGAAGCCATTGTCATCTTCTCTGCAACTGAAGCAAGTAGCAGAGATGTGGCTAGAGACAGTTCCAAAGTCTGAGACGATTCATTCGTTTGTTGGGGACTCAGCAAGAGAGTTTGTGATGGTTCTTTCCTATGGTCGAAAGATTTAGGTCCCTCTCATAGTAGTAATATTTCTGAAGAAGATTGATAATTATGGTGTTTCAATTCAGTGGCATACTTGTGCATGATTGAGGATGCTTTGTGGGGTGTCCTGTGTTCAAGATTGTTGTTATATTTGTGGCTGGAAGAGAGGGGGGCTGAAGCGCTTTATTTAGTCCCTAAAGATAATTTAATTCATTTCCATAGAAAATTTTTAGCTTCCAATTTCACAGGATTGTAAACTATCTCTCCTCCCTTGGTTTCATTGCAATCAAATATCAATATATAATATAAAATTTATTGGACTTCGTATGTAGAATCCATAAACAATATAGTTTACCTTAGACTTTATGTAAAATATGCAGTCTTGTAATTTTCTAGTTATAGATGCTATTGATGATTTTGATGAAATTTTTTTTCTCATACCTATTGTGGCTTTTTAATACAAGGTAATAAAAAAAAAAATCTGTACAAGAGGGTGACAATCAAGTCATGTTAGAGTATAGAAAGTTTTGCACCTTGTGAATGAAATATAGAAAATTTTAAATCTAACTAAATTATCATTAGAAGCTTAGTGCTCTAGTCAATCAAAAATGATCATTCAATTTCTCATAATGAATTTTTTTATTTTCTTGATATTTTCAACGATGGAATAATTTTCCGATAACTCATGTCTAATAAGCATAGAAACTTCTTATACCTACAGATATAGTTTAACAAATAGTAAACCATTTCCTCTTTCTCTGTCTCTCTCTCTCTCTCACTGCGGCATACATATTTAACTGTAAGTAGATTTAAATTTTATGGTCTCTTGAAATAATTATTTTTAGTCAATGGATTTGATGGGACATTCAAATGATATCGTGAGGCTAAAGTAAAGGAGGGAGCATGACATATTAGTCAAGTGACACAATCTTCTTTTTCTAAGCAATCTAATGGTCAAAAATAAATATTTCAAAGGAATCTGAGTTTCGCTCATAGATGCTGCTTAATTAGCAAATATATGATTTGCTCATGTGAATTGTGCTCAAAGAAGCATCAATATCAATGTCACAATATGAATGTATATGCAGCTCTATTCTGGATTGAATTGCATGAATGAATGCGCTATTGTATTTGGACCTTCGAATTGATTTATTAATAATAATACATTAATTTTAAAGTTCAAATATCAAGAGATGAAGATTAGCTTCTTATTGCTATAAAAAAAAAGATATGATAAATATGCATTTTTACTTTTTGAAATATTTTTTAAAAAGTATCAAGTGTCCTAAAGTATTTGTTGGAGTATTTTTACTCTTAAAACAATTAAATTAAAAATCCTCTAATCTGTTATTAAATTCTAAAAAACGTCTGTTAAAAACAACTAACTTGGACTCAAATACTTTCTAACAAACGTTTTTAGGGATTTAATGGTAAGGGTAGAGAGTATTTCAATTTAATTAATCTAGCAGTAAAAATATTTTAACAAATATTTTAAAATATTAGATGTTTTTTAAAAAATATTTTAGGAATAAAAATATACTTTTAGTCAAAAAGATATTAGCCACCGAATCACTAAACAAGACACTAATTGAAGTGTCTATTGGAAAGTCTAAAACCTGAACCCAAAAAAAAAATTCTCTCTTGCTTGTTCAATATGGGGGCATTTGTACGCCAAGACTTTGTGCTGTGGTGGAAGTAGGCCCCACTTAGCTGAAAATATAGTTCGGATATTTATGACGCTCTATTCAAATGGCACTGTAGCCAAGATCCTCTTTGTTCTGTATGTGGTAAGGTCCCTGAAACACTTGAACCCCTTTTTTTTTTATTGTGATTGGGTCAAGCTTGTGTGGTTTGGATGCCTACTTGGGTTCAATATTGATTCTTTACCTGTTCATAATATTAAAGAATGGTTTTTTAATCTGTTATGCGGGAATTCTCTGTTTGATACTTATGAAAAGGCCTATATAGTCTGGCTCTGTTGGGTTGTTTGAAAATTTAGATGCAAGATGGTTTTTGATGGCAATCCATTAGATCCAAGGCGAGTTATTATGACCTCAAATGCCGAGTTACAAAATTTCTGAACTGCTAAAGTACTCTTACCACTCAGTTTTGCTTCTAGTGTAGGTATTGAGACTGATGATTCCCATTGGGTTAAACCCCCTTTTGAAAATGTGAAAATTAATTTTGATGGGGCTTATCAATATTCAGATGGCAGTGCAGCAATTGGTGTGGTGGTACGTCATACTGGTGGATCTATGTTAGTTGGATGGACTGAAACGGTGGTGGCAGACTCGAGTTTTTTATCTGAACTATATGCTACACAAAGGGCATTAAAAATTTAATTTCCTGCTTTTTGTTATTTCTTTGCCTTCCGTTCTTTGTGTTTTGCGAAAAATGCAGTGTTTGGACCCTTCTGTTTTCTTTTTCTCTTTTCGAATGAATGAATCTCTTCAAGCTAAAAAAAAAAAAAAAAAGAATTCATGAAAATATAATTGCGGGCCTCTACATTTTTAATTCGCGTATTGTGATATTAATTTTTATTTTTTTTTTCGATTGCTCTTATTCCATTAAATTTTATCTGTCTATAATAGTAGTAACTATATTTTTAAACATGATGATAAGGATTTAACATTAGATAATGTATACATGAACTCAATTACTTTTTATGTTAACTCGTTAAAATTATGATAAGTTATATAAAAAATAAAAAAACAAAATGTTAAATCAAAATTCATAAATAGGGGAGGGATGGAGTTTCAAAAAGAAGAAAACACAATTGTTAGGACATAAAAGCAAAAAAAAAAAATTACTAATTATTTTGTTCATATAATATTCAACTCATTATAATTTTATCAACTCAATAATAAAATTAAAAAAATTTTGCATGCGATAATAAATTTAGTTTTATTAATGATAACAAGAATTGACATTATAAAATAAGATTTAAGAAACTAGGGGCAATATAAAAAATATAGGATTAATACTAAAAACATGTTAAAAGTATATAGATCAATGAATATATTTAAAATTAAATAAGAAAAACGTTGGTGTGATTGACAAGGTACACAGGAGTTTGAAGTTGGAAGATTGACGGTAATTAGAAAGCATGAACAGGGCCGTGAAACTCGCAAGGTTCAATCTTGTTGCGGATACAAATAAATAAATGATAGGATTTCTTTTTTTTTTTTTTTGGGATAAAAAGGCAAGCTGCGAAGCTTGAAAAGACAGAGAGGCAATATATATTGGAAAAGATCGAGAAACGAGGAAGGGGTTTGGATGAGATAGGAGATGAGGTCACTTTTTGAACCTTCCTCGTTCTTCCAAGCTCAGCACCACACCAGTCATCATCCCACTTATATTTTATTATCTAATTGTCATCCATCGTGGGGTTTAATGTCAATTTTTTTTAGTTGGTAAATTTTTATTATAAAAAACATATAATTTCTTAACAAAAAAAATCTAACTACTTAAATATAACATTTTGAGTTTGAAATACTGTTAAAGTATAATATTTCATGGTTAAAGTTATACCAATTAAGCTCGGAAAATCTGGATATCAAATAATAATATATAAAAAAATCCAATCTCAATAAGTTTTATAAACCTTCAAATATGTAAAAATATTTAAATTTTAGAATAATTTTAAGAACATTCAAATTCATGTCCATGATTGAAATTAGTTTTCTCTCCTTCATCATTTTTTTTTTTAGACTTCCGGTGGAAGTTAGGTTGTGCGTGGTGAATATTTTGTCAGGTTGGGTAGTTGAATGTAATTTCCCCTACTTCATTGGATTTTCGATTTTGCTGACTCTAGTCAGAGCCTGCATAGGCTCGTCCCGTTCAAAGGCAGAATCAAACATCAAACAGAGTAGCATGAGAAAGCGTCCAGGTTCATCCTCCCGAAGCCAATCGCTTTCAAGTCCACTCCTATAAAACCCAACACATCTACGCAAACCAAACCCGAATTCGATTCTGCACCACTTTCCTCTTTCACTAAACCCATTCTTCTCTTCACATTGATTTTCTTTCTCTGAATCCAGTTCCTTCCATGGCTACTACACTTTCTTCCAAAGCTACCTTTCCGTCTCATTCTCTCTCCGACAACTTCCTTACCCATTTCGCTCCCTCCGTCAGGCTCTCTCTTGCCTCGAAGCAAAAACCCTACCCGAGACTCAGAGTCTCCAACGCGTTGATCGAACCCGATGGTGGGAAGCTGGTGAATCTCGTTGTTGAGGAATCTCAGAGGAACGGCAAGAGAAGGGAGGCGTTGGCTTTGCCCAGGATCCAGCTTTCCAACATTGATGTCGAATGGGTTCACGTGCTCAGCGAAGGGTGGGCTAGCCCGCTGCGTGGGTTCATGAGAGAGACGGAGTTCCTCCAGACGCTTCATTTCAACTCGCTTCGACTCCATGACGGATTGATTGTCAACATGTCGGTGCCAATCGTGCTTGCCATTGATGATGAGCAGAAGCATTTGATCGGCGAGTCCAGAAATGTTGCTCTCTTTGATTCTCAGGGCAATCCGGTCGCCATTTTGAAAGAGTATGACTCTACATCTCCTCTCTTCACACCCCCACCTACTGGAAAAAAAACTACCGCAAATTAAAATGAGGCGACATTACTTTTTGACGTATATTGAATGAATTGCTCGCCCCTGTAATGTCATAGGTATTTCATTTGATTTCTCTCGTTTCATTTTCATAAATGCATAGATGCTGTCAAAGCTATGAAATTCACTTCTTGTTTTTTTTTTTTTTTAACCACTGAAGTTATGGAATTAACTGACTTACTGTTGAGCATCTGTACCATAGTAAAATTCTCTAAGTTGTGAAATTACTTTTACAAAGATTTGAAGGTGAATGTGTAATTGATTATGCACTTTAACTCTTACATGCTTATAGACCACTGTGGTGTTCGACAGGCAGTGCAATTTTGCAATTTATTATATATAATTGTCCAAGTGATATATTTTGTTTCAATTTGGGGTTGCATTGACTTTAGTTCTTTGGTTTGCATCGTGGATTTTATATGTTCAGCTTGCCTATAGTGCCCGGAAATTTCCCATGTTTAGTGTGTTTGTGGTGTAGAATGGTCAAGCTTTTTTTAGTTGATTGTTGCACAGAATTAGGTTTGTCGTTCAAGACTCATTTTGACACACAGCGATCCATCTTTGGTCTTTATGTGTGTAAAATAATTAATCTTATCTTCATATGTTTGAGAGTATTTTGTCTAAATATACGTTAGTCATCTGTCAAAGTTTCAACATGATTTCTGCAGTGAGATATTGCCATTCTTTTCTCAATTGTTCAATTGCAATTTTTCCCTTATGGGTAATGAATTGTTCTTTTGGTTATTTTAGTGTTGAGATTTATAAGCACCCCAAGGAAGAAAGGGTAGCTCGTACTTGGGGAACAACTGCCCCTGGCCTCCCTTATGTTGAAGAAACTATAACTCGTGCTGGCAATTGGCTGATAGGGGGTGACCTAGAGGTTATAGAAGCAATCAAGTACCATGATGGCCTTGATCGTTTTCGGCTTTCTCCTGCAGAACTCCGTGAGGAGTTCACAAGGCGCAATGCAGATGCTGTGTTTGCTTTCCAGCTCCGAAATCCTGTTCATAATGGTCATGCTTTGCTGATGACTGATACTCGTAAACGACTTCTTGAGATGGGCTATAAGAATCCCATCCTCTTGCTCCACCCACTGGGAGGCTTTACTAAAGCCGATGATGTCCCACTCGAATGGCGTATGAGACAGCATGAGAAGGTATGTGTAATATCAAGCGTCGATGTAGTTTCGTGAGAGCAATGCTGCTTTTCTTTTCTTTTCTTTTTTTTTTCATTTTCTGAAAAAGAATAATAATAGAATATTGTGCTCACGTTCTACCTTCTTGCATGGCGTACTGGGATCTTCTTAGTTAGCTAAGGAAAGTAGCATACTTACTAAAAATCAGAATACTCCCCAAAGGCATGAAATTGTATTTCCTTGTAAAATGAAAATCTTATGTATGGATTTTTCATTAGGTGCTTGAGGATGGTGTTCTTGACCCAGAGACGACAGTTGTATCAATTTTCCCTTCTCCCATGCACTATGCTGGACCAACTGAGGTACAGTGGCATGCAAAGGCTAGGATAAATGCAGGGGCAAACTTCTACATTGTTGGTCGGGACCCTGCAGGTATGGGCCACCCAATTGAGAAAAGAGATCTATATGATGCTGACCATGGGAAGAAGGTGTTGAGCATGGCACCTGGACTCGAGCGTCTGAACATCCTTCCTTTTAGGGTACTTGAATGCTCTTCGTCTTCTTCCCAAGAAGATAAGCTTTAATGAAGCTATTATTTGACATCCCTGGTGATAATATCTGTCTGTTTGCAGGTTGCTGCATATGACAAGACTCAGGGCAAAATGGCTTTCTTTGACCCTTCTAGGCCTCAAGATTTCCTCTTTATATCAGGGACCAAGGTACGTGTGACAGTATCATGCTCTTTGGCTCACTGTTTGTAGGATTCCGATCCTTTTAAAGTTTTCATAAAGAAAAATGATACAACTGATTTGCGATTCTTATCATAGAAAATAAGTAGGATTCACTCATAAGGTATTGGACTGTTGCGTTGTTTTCTTTCCAAAACTTACACCTCCAGTTTTTCAGATACTTCAGAGAATCCCTATCCATGTTCGTAGTAGGAACTTTAACTGGGTCAAATTTAGGGAAAACAGCTCCATTCCCTTGGCCAAAAGGATGATGTACATGTGAAGATGTTACAATTCTGTTTGTTTAACAATGTCTGGCATCTTAACTATGTTGATTTTCCAGATGAGAACGCTGGCGAGGAATAAGGAAAGTCCTCCTGATGGATTCATGTGCCCCGGTGGCTGGAAGGTGCTGGTTGAGTACTATGATAGTTTGGTTCCCTCAAGTCTAGGCAGAACACCGGAGGCAGTACCAGTTTAGTTAAATTAAGTTCATTAATTATTATTATTTTTATTCTGGTCGGGAAAACATGTATGTGTTCTCCTAAAGAAATCCACCTCTGCAATTATTCTGTCATAAATTCCTTGCAAAAGAAGGATGAAGAATCTGGGGGAGGAACTGACTCAGGTGTAAAATTAGCCTCCACTTGTATGTAGGATTTGTGTGGCATTATTGCCTCTTCCACGTGTACACTGATTGAGCAGTTTTGATCGCAAGCCTGTTCATTGTCGCGTTGTGGCACTCCCATTGTTGATTTCTGAGGGGAGAGAATTTCTCCTTGTAATGTTTGATGTTCTTTTCTCCGGAAAATAAGTGATTTTGAATATTTTAGAACTATAGTTATATATACAAACCTATTGTGTACTTGCGATTCATGATTGTATTGTAGCTTTATGCGAAAATCAATAAATTCCTTATCACACGTTTGTGAACACCTCAGCATGAGTGAATGAATATGTCTTAAGAGCAATATTTGTGGCTTCCTCTGAACATTGTATCTCTGAATTTGATCTGTTAAGGTTAGGGATCCTCCGGACTCTTAAAGCAATAATAGTAATATCAGCCCCCTAAGCTGTTTCATGCAAGCGATGTAAGATAAACACAGATAACCTAAAATATCTTGAAAAAGAAATTCCTTGTTCAAGCGGAGGATAATTATAAGCGTCTGGACCAAATTGAAAGCATGAAAACGCTGGTTTGTAGAAATGTGTGTGGTGCCCAATGAATTTGCCATTCCTTACAATCATCAACGAGTTCAACAGAGACACAAACCTAAACATGGAGGAATATATGGGATTGGCCTGATACCAGAAAAGATGACACCTTTTATGTGGTTGGCAGCTCATTCCTTGACTAATGAAGGAAATTGTTGGTTTTCCAAGGACTTGATTTCTTTCTACTTCATTTTTCTTTCAATGGGCTCCCACAGTAAATATAAACCATTCGGATTAAATTTTAATAATACATATTAATATGTACCTTTTAAAACTATCAAATCTATATTATTGAATCCAATTTAATGGTTCAGACTTGCAGTACTCCCTCCACTACAATGGAGGATGGCTTCAAATCTGAACTTTTGAAAGAGATTTTTTTTTTTTTTTGGTGAAATAAAATTAGGTGAGTTGGATTAGGGGCTGGCCAGGGCTAAGATTATGGATCAAATTCTTACCTACAAAGCAACCTCAGCTTGCATCTACATTGTTTGAGTGACCAATCTTTTTAGGATAACATTGCATATACGAATAAAATATGTTCCTTAGAAATAGGTGAGATATGATTTAATGTTTTTTTCTAAATGCTGTATTCATGAATGATGTTTTTAATAAAAATTAAGATTAGATCATAACAAGAATTAGGTTAAACATAAAAGACTAGTCTCTTATAAACCAAAATTCATTAGAGATGTATTTATATTTTAATGCATTAAAATACAAAAATTTAGAATCTATATATATTTTTAAAATAAAAAAATGAATATAATCCCTAACTTATTAAGGTTAGAGAGTATATAAGGGCAAAATACACTTAAGCCTGCAGAAATAAGAGATCAAAGTCATATGTGAATATGGGCCAAAAAGGCATAAATTCAATAACTCTAAAGTTTAAATACCAATATATGCATGTGCTTGTATGTATTTAATTATTGATTCGAGAACTTGGCTCATAAGAAATTTATTTATTTTTTATATAATTATTTTTATATTGGGAAAATAACAAATATGTTCTGTACAAGGACTTATTTATACATAAGTCCCATAAAATTTAAAAGCTATAACCAAAGTCCCATGGGACTTGGTTATAATTTATAGTTGTGGTGTAAAGATAATATTGCCCTTATTAATTTGACTTTCATTTACAGCTACAACTCATAATTTACAAGTAAAATTTTATAATTTACAAATCACATTTATTGTCTAATATCTCATATAATATGGAGTCTCTATGAAGTTAATTGTGTCTACTTAAGGTTAACTGGTCTAATTGAAATGTAAAATTCATAATTCACCATGAAATTATAGGAGGAAACATAATTAATTTTATAAAGACTCTATATTATATCAAGTGTTAAATAAAAAATTTGACTTGTAAATTATGAAGAAGTTTTACTTCTTCAATTCACAAGTAAAACTAATAAATTCTAGGGCTAATGAATTCTTATAACATGTCATTAAGTTTTATAAGAACTAGTATAGTACCCGTGCAATGCACGGTGCATTTTTGTAACTTAAAATAATTTTATTTTAGAATGTTAATCAATACAAATGAAAAAAATTACATAAAATAAATTACAATATTAACTAATAAGATGAGTGTAGAATTATAAAAATAAAAATTAAAGAATTTATCATGAATCCTTAAATGTCCAAAACCATGGTAGCCTCTCTCTTCATACCTTTCACTTATTTTCTTCGACTCATCTATCAATCTTCTTTCCTTTGTTTGTGTTTCACTTTAGTAGGAAAGCTACCATAGTTGATCAAGTCTAACATCTCACAGTTGTTGAAGTATCTTCTTTATAAACCACAATATACTTTATTATTTTTATTGTGCTGATATTGTGATTTTATAATTTTTCTTTATCATTTGTAGGTTTATCCAATAATTAGATAGTTTGTAATGTTTTTCTCACATATAATCCATGAAAAATTAAGATTATAAGGTTAATATAAAAATTGCATGGTTCATCTTTTCTATTAAATCATGTGAGGGTAGAAAATTTTTTGAAGCACTATAATTTTTATAATTTATAAATATCAACAAATAAACATTAATATATATTGAAAATTTAATTTTCAATGCAAGCATCAATTTTTTCAAATCTTGTAACTAAGATATTACAATATAAAATATCATCAAAATTAAAAACAAAATTTGAGTGTTAAGTCATTATCTTCAAATGCAAATTATATATAATTTTAAAATTTAAAATTTGATTAATTCATTTGACATTTATAATTCAAATAAAAATTAAAATCAAACATAGATCATTAAAATATTATTTGAAATTAAGAAATTTGGATCACTATGAGTAAATTATTATGAGTATGCTTTTCAAAAAAAGATTTATAAAGAGATGCCCAAGAGTCAAGATATATGAAGAGTGAAAGAAAATTACTTTGCATAATGTGAAGAACTATGTCAATATATATCTTTCTCTTTATTTAATTTTAATATACCTGTAGAGTTGTAAAAAAATAATAATAACAAATCATCATACAATTTAAAATAAATATTCCAAAAACTAAAAATTAAATTCTATGAAATTATAACTTTACGAAAATAGAGCACAATACATTTTTAGTTCTATTGCTTATGAAAAACAGATGTAGAATAATGGAGGAAAATTCAGTAAAAAAAATACAAAATGCACACTTATGTGCAATTACCTAGTATCTACCATGAATATAAGATATATCAAAAATTGAATGTTCTTTTGATATCTATAAGCACATAATAACCTCATCACAACATTAATTAGGAAATGAAAATCATCATAAAAATGACACAAGGGGTGAGAGGGCTAGGGGTGTTCATGGGACGGGACACCCTCGTCCCGTGTCCGGTCCTAAAAAGAGATCGGGACTGAATTTTAATCACGTGTCCATTCCGTCCCGTTAAGAGTCGGGACGGGATCGAGATAAGATCAGGACATCCCGCCGTCCGATAAAATGAAATAATATCAAAAAAAGATATGGATAATGACGTTCATTAACATTTTAAATTATATAATTTATTAAGTTTAAAATCAAAATAACACAAGCACATAAATAACAATAATTTAAAATCAATTATTGAATCCTATTAATCACAACTACATATTATAATAACAATACAAGTGACCTTTATGCTATAAGATTAGCAACAACGGGCAAGTCAAACATAACATCAAATCATTGTTCTTCTACTTTATTAGTGAAGATGTATAAGCTAATTATTCTTCTAAAAATAAGCAAAAAAAATGTTATAAATAAAATTTATTAAATAGATAGATATAAGAATAAATTATATTATATAATTAATATATTATAAAAAAATATCGTCATGTTTACTCCATGCCATTAAAATTATCAATATAAAAAAACTTTAGTTTAAATATGAATTGCAAGTATTAAAATTATAATTGATTAATTAATATAAGTATAAATTATATATATACTAATATATTTAAAATAAAAAATAATATATATAATATTCGGGACGGGACGGATGTTCCGATGGTAATCCTATATCCTGGTCCTGTCTCGTAAAGTCCTGTCCCGATTATGTTCGGGCCGGAACAAGACCCGTCCCGATATGATCGAGACGATATCGGGCCAATCGGGACGGTGACAGACTGAACACCCCTAGAGAGGGCATTGGTGACGAAGGAAGAAGCCAGAGATAATGAGAGTTTTGTAATTTTACTTGTCTTGATGAGGGAATGGAGTGATAGAATGATATTAGGATTGAATAAAATCTCGTGTGCTTTATAACTGCTTAATGTGATTGTATATTTGTTGTAATTAAAATTTTAAAACTAAAAATAAAAAAAATTGTGGAAGTTATGATGATAGGAGAGTGGGAGAGAAATGCAGAAAAATAGGAATTAAAATAACTCATTAATTTAAATATAATACTTTTTTAATATTTAAAAAATTGATAGAAAATCTAATGTACATGCTAAATTGTATATTTTAAGTGGTAAAGAAGTTGAAAAGTTATGATAAATGGATAAAATTATGGGAGAAAATTTAGGGATAAAATGAAGTGGGTTCTACAATTTAAAATAATATTCTTATCATCTATAAAAAATTTGGTATTATGTAAAAAAACTTATTTTTTTAGAAATTAATGTTGATGTGGATACCTTATAAATATTTTATTAATTCATACATTTATCATTCCGTTTTTATTTCTTTATTTATATGATTTAATTTACAAACCTTATTTAAATTATTAGTCATACAATTATCCTACTAATATAAAATTATTCACAAAATGACAATACAGGAAGTTAAAGTTGAAATTATGAGAGATAATATCAAAGATAAAATTTTTAAAAAATAAAATTTAATTGTGAACTAGTTGAAAAATTTTATTTGAGATTTTGAGATCATAGAGAGAGTTACATTTTTCAAATTCTAATCTTATAATTAAAAAAAATCTTATAAATTAAAAAAAATATTTTTAAAAATTAATAATGATGTAAATAGCATAGAATTGTAATACTTAAAAAAAAAACCTCATATGTGTCAAACTTGAAAAGGATTTCTTATTTATCTATTATATATATAATATTCTCACCAAATTCTACGGAATCAGGAATCTAATAATTATTAGATGATAGAATAATATAAATAACTATTTATATTTAAATTTATTATATGCATGAATTAAAAAAATCATAAATTAAATCGCAAAGCAAAAAGGTTATTAAAATAATTAGATACTGAATAGCTAACTATATCTAAAAGAAAAATCATGTGGTTAGAAAATTATTAGATCATGGGTTAAGAAGTTACTGGAATGAATAATCTAATAACTATCTATATTTAAATTTAATTATATGCATGAATTAAAAAATAAAAAACTAAATTGTATAGGCAAGAAAGTTATTAAAATAATAGAATATTAAATAACTAACCATATCTAAAAGAAGAATCATGGAATTAGGAAATTGTTAGATCATGGGTTAATTAGTTATTGAAATGAGGGAATAAAAATAAATTATATTCATGAATTAAATATAATTTGGTAAATGAAATCTTACGTGGCTTTCTGAAATTGTACTATTTAAAGAAAATGACACTTGTCATCCATAGAAATGTACTTATTATTTTTTTATTATATAAATATTTATTAGTTTTACTTTAATTTGACATGTAAATTATGAAGTTTTACTTCAATTTACTTCAATTTTGCACTTTTGGCCTAATAAATTTTGATATTGCGCTATAGATTTAAGGGCCCTTATTGCAATTTTGCTTGAGAGAAAAAATATAATTTTGTCCTTGTATGATTTGAAAATTTAGAACCTGTGCAAACTTTCATTCATAAAACACAATACGATATTCATGAATTATCAACACAATATCCATGCGTATATAGTTAATCTGTAAGTTAATTAAAATATACAAATTACACAGAATATATATAACACAATGTTCCATGGGTGCACAACATGATATTCATACATTCTCAACACCATATTCATGAATTTTCAACATAATATCCATGTGTCTCTGATGTACAACACAATATCCATGCATACATAGCACAATATTCATGCATTTTCAATTGAATGTCCATGGTGTCAAGTTAATTAATAAGTTTAATAAAATGTATAAATTGCACAACAATATATAACACAATCTCCATGGATATACAATACGATATTTATAAATTTTTAACATAATATCCATGCGTGTTCCAGTTGATTTATAGGTTAATTAAAATAGTCACGCAGAGCATGTACAACATAATGCCCATAGGTACAAAACACGATATTTTGGATTATCAACACAATATTCATACATTTTTAACACAATGTCCATGTGTATTCGGTTATTAGTAGTTTTGATAAAATATATAAGTTATACAAATAATGTATAATATAATGTTCATAAATGCACAACACGATATTTATGGATGCACGTACATGTGAAGTTTATCATTCCGCTGCTTTTAATTTATCTTTTTCATTTTGATCAAGGAAAAAATTATACTTTTAACTCTAAAAAAAATTACAACAACGACCCTTAAACTTATAATGCATTGTCAAAAAATTTTAAGCCTGCAAGTGCAATTTCTCCTTTCTAAGACCTGCAGTGTGATTCTCCCATGTATAATTTTATATTCACGGAGCATATCGGTTGAGCGATAAAATTAAATTGGCAAGGAAGTATGTAAGTGTGGGTAGGCGATCGCATAGGGTTCTCTTCTCGCTGAGTTTACTTCTTTGGCCGTCAGCTGCATTGAAGAAGCTCCTGTCATCAGCCATGGCAGTCGGCAAGAACAAGAGGATTTCGAAGGGCAAGAAGGGTGGCAAGAAAAAGGCGTGCGTAACTATTCTTTTTCACCTATTTCACACTCTCGGTTTTGCATACTCTCTTTCGCGTGTTTATTCGGTCCTTTTTTATCTTTGATTCTTTCTCGGATTTTTATTCAGAGCTGATCCCTTTTCCAAGAAGGACTGGTATGATATTAAGGCCCCTTCTGTTTTCCAAGTGAAAAATGTGGGCAAGACCCTCGTCACTCGCACTCAGGGGACCAAGGTATTTTCATTCATGTTTTCTCTGTGTAATATGGCCCCAAAACGTGTTTAACTTGTATGATACCTGGAATAAGTAATCCTTGAAATGTGTCTTTGAATGAGTATTAACATTTTTTTTTATTGATGCTATGGAGTATGAATATTAGATACGTTATTTCTTGATGTTATGGTGTTAAAGGATTTCTTCTCTTCTTCAAGTTTATTAATAGAATCTAATTATATCTCATTTTCGGATCTGGGCTTTCGTTTTGATTTCTGTATATGCTGTGTGCAATTTTAATTTTCCCTTCAATTTTTCATTCATGGACCAGTTACCTTCTATGCATTTTACTATCCAAGGACTGATGCTTGATTTCCTTGCTTTTAAGACATATTAAGCGGAATTGGCTTGTGCATCTTGATACTCTAAAGAGTGTAGATTTCTTCTACGTATATTTTTTCTTTCATGTGCGTAGGTTTGTTCTTTGTACTTAAAGGCAAGACACCGCTAGGATCAATAGTTAAAATGCTTGAAATGGAGTTTGATTTCCTTGGTGTTATTCTATCGATATGGAATGTACCTTATGCCTTTGGCATAAAAACAAATTTCCATTGTGCATGGCTGCCTGCTTATATGGATTGCGTTTGTTGTAAATAACAGATTGCTTCAGAAGGACTTAAACATCGAGTGTTTGAGGTTTCATTGGCTGATCTCCAAGGTAATGAGGACCATGCCTATAGGAAGATTCGGTTGAGAGCTGAGGATGTTCAAGGGAAGAACGTTCTGACAAATTTCTGGGTATGATGGGTCCACTGAAATGTTTTCTTGTTGTGATATGATGCTTGTTAATGGTTATTATTTAATAAAATCTTGCAATCTTAGGGAATGGATTTTACTACTGACAAGTTGAGGTCATTGGTGCGGAAATGGCAAACTTTGATAGAAGCTCATGTGGACGTGAAGACCACTGATAATTACACATTGAGAATGTTCTGCATTGGATTTACAAAGAGACGTGCAAACCAGGTGAAGAGGACCTGCTATGCACAATCAAGCCAGATTAGACAGGTATATTCACTAAATTGTTTGTAACATGGAAAAAAATGGTAGCTTTCAAGTTCAACTTGCATCACAATAATAATCATGGTTTTACTTGTGTTTTGCTATGGTGGAATAGCTAAAATGTGATAACCAAAATTGAATGAGAATGAATTACTTGATATCATTGCTGTTATTTTGTATGCAGTTGTGATTGAACTTGTGATTTTACTTCTGAACTTGATTATGGGAAAATTGGTTTTATCGCCTGTCTTTTCTCACGGTAGAAGATTGCATGTTTAGCAATGTAACCCTTTTCTTGTTTAGATCCGACGGAAGATGAGGGAGGTCATGACAAATCAGGCTACCTCTTGCGATTTGAAAGAGTTGGTCCGCAAGTTCATTCCAGAGATGATTGGCAAAGACATTGAAAAGGCAACGTCGAGCATTTACCCTCTGCAAAATGTCTTCATTAGAAAAGTCAAGATTTTGAAAGCTCCCAAGTTTGATCTCGGAAAACTGATGGAGGTATATCTCGTAACCCAAATTCCCTTTAACAATGATTGACGAACTATGTACTATATATTCGTCTGATATAAATCATGGTCAACGTATCCATTTGATCTTGTTGCGTCCTTTCATTATTGTACTTCTTTTGAACAGATGTTTTGCTAGCTGATCAATTTGTGTACATTTTTTTTTCCTCTTGATCAGTTATCATTACAGCCTTAAATTAACTCATTGGCTTCCATGTTCGTTCCTTTTCAAAATCATAATTTCTTGCTCGATTTTGTGATTCATTGATTTTCAATTCTTGAAGCGTGTCAATGGTGTATCTATTTTTATAATTTTTAATCTTATAAAAATAAATTCAGTGTTAATCTTATAGTGCTCCTAAGAAGAATCAAACTCACATTGTTAAGAAAAGACGAGATCTCTTGTCAACTAAGTTAACACCAGGATAAACATTATTTATTTATTTGTTACAAGCATGTGGTAGAGCCTTTATTCATTGACTGATCCAATGCCTTTGCCAACTGGTCGATTAGGTTCATGGTGAGTATTCAGAGGATGTTGGTCTGAAGGTAGACAGACCTGCGGATGAAACAATGGCTGAGGAGACCCCTGAAATTGTTGGGGCTTGATTGAATGGGGTTGCTTATTTGATTTTATTTAGGAGTTCAGCTACTTTTCTTCAGTGAGCAGTCTAGGCATAATCCCAATGTTTCTATATTAAGCTGAGGGAAGCATCATTTTTTTTTTTTTACATTGAGAACAGTTGGTGTTCACAGATGATACCTGCATTCATTTTTCTTTGCTATAATGAAGTTTGCGCTCTTGGAAGATGACTTTTCATCCGTATTTATAGACATGCTGTGTAACTTCATAGTTTTATTCTGAGGTGAGTTACATTTTGTTTGATTTGATTTTTGTTAGGAAAAAAATATAAATAATATAACACACTAAGAGTCTATATAAAGATTTAAGTTTACATCTCCATCTAAATTTACAAAGTATAGTGATAACAATAATCATAATAATTAAGAAACAAAAACATGTAAATCCCAGAGACATAAACCTAACCATTTTATTTAACACTTCTTCATTTCTTCCGGAAACCAAGATTTGTGTCGTGATTATCAACAACATGTGCTTTTCCAGACAATGCCTTGGTTATGGCTTTGATAGTATTAGGAGTAGTTCTGCAACAGCCACCGAAAAGGGAAGCGCCTGCATCACGCCACTTTCCCACATATGACACAAAATCTTCATCTCCCACTCCACTTGATTTCTGCGTTATAAAGCCAACAATTCCATAGATAAACAACTATTGTTCATTTCTTTGTGAAGAATCCATCTTCTTACATGACTTAAAGTTCCAGACTGAGTTTTAACCATTCAAAATTTGAGAAGAGGGAAATAATTAGAAACTAGATTAAGAGGATGGATTTGAATTGCGATTTAGTGAACATGATGGAGTTGTAGCCTTAGCCTTTATAGTTTATAGAGAGAGAGTAACAGACAGGGAACTCACCACCCATTGCTTGTTCTCAGCATCATAAGTCTCGCCACTGTTGGGATATACAAGAACTGGTTTATTTGTTACCTGATACGTTCACACAAGTCAAGAACAAGCATGGGATCTTTTTCAAGAATATAATCCTCAGGGCATAACTCGATTTGAAGAGTCTCATCTCACCTTTGTTATAGATTCAATGAGTGAGTGAATGTATCTCGGAGCTGTGCAATTGACTCCAATCGCAGCAACTCGCTCGCATGAATCAGGAATGGATGCACACTCCAATATGGAATCCCCGCTAGCCACATTGCTTCCATCCTTACAGCTAAAAGAAAACCAGGCAGGAATTTCTATTCCTTCTTCCTCAAGAAGTTCAACGTACGCCTTCATTGAATAAATAAATTCAAGCGAATCAAACAAGGTTGTGCAACATCAAGTAGTTTTTGCATTATCAGTTTTTACTGGATGATTATTTCCAGAAATGATTCGTCAGACTTTACATTAGAACTTGTATGAATCCAAGACATGAGATTATAAATTTAAGAACTTGTATTATAAATACCTGAGCTTCGAGTTTGTTTGGAATGGTTTCAAATGCAATCAAGTCAGGAGCAGAGTCGGCAAGAATCTGGAGTCGTCTCCTGTGAAAATCTTTCAGCGTCTCCACTGTGACTGCATCGCCGTAGTCCCCTCTGCGAAAAGGAACAAGAATCATCCATCCAAATTTAAGGTGAAGATGTTCAGACGAGTGGCAAATGACGGAATTCAGTACTTCACCTGTATTCTGATCCGTCGGCCAAATAAGCGCCATAGCTTCCCACAGAAGCAGCAACAAGAATCGGACGCGTCTGGGGATTTGTTCCATTTCCGATGAGGTCACAAGAATGTCTCGTGAATCTATGGTTGTATATGTCTCGAGCCGCGCGTGCAACTTCTACACTTGTTCTAAGCAGAGCTTCACCTTCTTCTCTAGAATACCCTTTTGCCTCAAATCCCTCAAGGCTGGCCTGTTTCCAACCCAAAAGGTGCAGGAAAATGAACCATCTACTGATCTATATATTTACATATATCTACATCCAAATTGCGACGAAGTCATATAAAGTTGTTCTTTTTGCTTGTCCAAAAGATTTGATGCTGCAGAAATAGAATCCTTTCAAAAGGATGCCTGGCTATTTCGTGAGTATCTTTTTTTTTATTCTGTATTTATTTTTTGGTAAATATAACATACATTTTACCAAAAAAAAAAATGGAGTCAATTTTAATATTGACTAAACTATACTTTTACTCTTTTAATTTTATATAAAATTTCATTAGTCTCTTACTTTTATAAAGTATATTTTTATTTCTTTAATCATAAAACTATTAGTTTTATCACAAAAAATATTATATTGAATTTTTAAATATTAACAAATTATTTTCAAATGTAGCTTATTCATTAAAAAAGATAACTATGATTGATATAAAAAATAATTATTTAAAACTAACAATATTAATGTTAAAGGATTAAAAATATACTTTATAAAATTAGGGATCAAATTTAAATATTATATAAAATTGAAGGATTAAAAATATATTTTAACTTTTAATATTTCAAACTCGTGACTAACATTGATAACTTTAGCTATTACTTTCCAATTGTGAATAGAAGTCTAATGGGGGCCAGTACCTGATATGATGCTGTTATTATTATGTTCGCTCCGGCTTCAAGATAGTCTAGGTGAACCTGTTCCACAGCGCCGTAATTATTTGATTAATTAATTGGCTAATTATTTATTAAAAATCACTATAACATCATTTGATAGGTGAAAAAATGTTTTATAAACAGGAAATGGGAAATAAATCTATCCTATTTTCTTTCTAAATACATTTTCATTTTCCTTGCTAACAAATACTTTTTAGTATACAAAGCATGAAGTGGTGTTTCTAAAAGCATTTATCCGTTCAAAATATAGAATATTAAATAAATTTTATGTTTTTTTACCATTTATATCTTTGCTTTTTTTTTTAATCTTTAAATGTTTCATATTTAAAAATCATACATGTGTTATTAGAAAAATTTGAGAGTACAAATATAAAGATATAGACATTTTTAAACAATTAATATTTTTAGTAAAACATGAATTAATTATCAATAATATATATTGTAATCCAAATTAGTATGCTTTACACCTAAGTTTTTGGCAAGTAAAGGAGGGAGTACCTTGGTGAGGAGATGAGAGGAAGTAAGGAGGCAGGTGGCGCTCCAGAGTGGGTCCTTGAGATCGGCACCGTGACGTTCAAGCTCCGTCGCCAGGCCACCGTCTATCACGGCATACCCTCCACACTTGTCCACCATCTCCCTCATAAACGACGCCGTTCCCTTCCCCATTCCCTTTCTTCGTAATCTTATTCATGCACACAAGTCGCCACCTTCAAAACTCAAACCCACTCACATGTTTATATATACAGGCAGACGCCGTCGGAATATACGCAAGGTATACGAATTTCCCACTCTGCCCCTAGCATGTGAAAAAAAAAAAATTGGGAATCATATATTAAGCGAATGAATATTACCCGAGGAAGCAATGAACTGGATTGCCACCTTAAGTTTCGTAAAGACGTGTTATGGACACACTCTTGTGACAGAAGCTTCCAATGTTGGAAGCAGAAACAAGTAAGATGGGTGACAGATAGGATTGGTCAGGATATTTATCTGAGCACGATGAAGATATACACGAGGATATATGTGTGTATTTGTGTATGTTAATTGTCATCGAACACTTTGCTACAAATAAGCTAAGTATATCCATTTTGGTGCCGTGCTCCTTAAAGCCAATTCCCCCCATTTTCCATCCCATCTTTAGCACGTAATATATATGTGTGTACATATATATAAATGTATGTATGTATGTATGTATGTATGTATGTATGAGATCCAACAAATAAGTTTGTAGATTGAGAATCACTGCGTCTCTGAAACAATAAGGAACATAATTTGACTCTTTTTTTTTTCCTTGGAAAATATCAATCAAGGGACACTAAAGTAAATTTATAACAGAAGAGGATAAAAAGATATTGAGTTATCACTGCAGAATCAGGGGAATCTAAAAACGATGTGAAATGACCACAATACCCTTGCTTTTCAATTAAAAAAAGAAAAGTTACCCTCGTTGCCATTGGTTCCAGTTATCAGGTTGCTGGCGGTGAGGTCGTGAGAACCCTTGCCACCAAAAGGTCACTAGCAGGCGATCGCCAGAGCCCAAGTGTCATGACAATTTTCTTTAATAATTAGGAAAGGTGGCCTCTTTTGTCACCTAAAAAAATTATTATCAAGCCTATTTAATTATATATAACTTCCTCTCCCTCTTTTCGTGTGTGTGGAGGGAAGGTAAGTCAAGTTAAAATTCAAGTTTCAGTAAGTGTTAGTCCTTTATCAATAAATATTTATTAATATTTTAATAATAATTCATTTAAAATTAATAATAATCCATTCAAACTTTAATAAGATAAAAAAAATTAATAAGATTGGCTTAAATGTGTAAGTGCCAGTCCTTCATTAATAAATATTCATTTAAGTTTTGACAATAATTTATTTAAAATTAATAACGATGACCTATTCATAATTAACAATAATACATTTGAACTTTAATAGGAGAGAAAAACAGACAGCAAAAGCCTAATGGAACAAACCACTTGTTAATTACAAATGAGTTATTGTCAAAATCAAAATAGTCTATTGTTTATACAAGATGAACACTTATTCTATTAGACTTGTGCCATCATATTTTTTAACTTGTTCAAGCTTAAATAGATAATTTCAAATGGGATGTTATCAAATTTTAAAAAAATATTTATTAATGAAAGACTAACACTTGTACAACTAAGCTCATTCTATCAGTTTTTATAACTTGTTAAAACTTAATTGTTATTAAATTCAAATGGACTATTGTCAAACCCTAAATACATATTTCTTAAGAAAGACTAACACTTACACAATTAAACTCATCCTATCATTTTTTTTAACTTGTTAATTTTGAATGAGTTATTGCCAAAATCTAAAAAGATATTCATTAGCAAAAGACTGGCACTTTCTAACTTGTTCAAGGCCAATTGGATTATTGTTAATTTCAAATAAGATGTTATCGAAACCTAAATAGATATTTGTTAATGAATGACTATCACTTACACAAGCAACACATCCTGTTAGTTTTTTTTAACTAATTAAAATTTGAATAGATTGATATTAATTTCAAATGAGTTGTTATTAAAATTTGAATAGATACTTTTTGATGAAAAACTAAGTTGTTATTAAAATTTGAATAGACATTTTTTGATGAAAAACTAACACTTGTATAAGTTTGGATTAAAAGCTTGGGCTACTACATATATGTTTTTTTTTTTGGTTGTGTATAATTAAATGTGTTTAGTAGCACCAAGTTTTTTAAATATTTAAGAGATCACGAAATCAAACACTCTAATTACCTTTACCAATTATTCAAAAAAAAATTGTCACAAGCATAGGAGGTCCAACAACCTTGCCATCAATAGTCTGGTGGCTAGTACCTAGTGAAAGTTGGGGTAACTTAAAAAAAAAGAAAGAAAAGAAAAAAAAAGCTAGGGTATTATGGTCATTTCATACTCAAACTTATGTTTATTTTAGTCCCTGAGTGCTACGGTGATAATTCTAAGTGCTTTGATCTTTTTTTGTTATAAATTTGTTTTAATGGTTCTTGATTGATATTTTGCCTTTTTTTAACAAAAGATCGCGTTCTTTTAAATAGTGATTTTTGGTGTTTAAAACTATTCATGTTCCTTACGGGAGTGTATTTAAAAGCAAATATGAATTGTGGAAATCATACAATTCATAAGTCATAAATAATAAATTATTTCAAGTCTGGTACAATTACAATGAACTATGTACTTTTTTTTTTTTTGAAATGCAGAGAAAAACTTCGTTACTATTATTACTTTTCATGAAATTGAATTTTAGATCTTATATTTAAATAAAATTTTATGTTTGCCTCTTCTTTTATTTAAATTTAACAGTATTTTGAAATTTACGTTTAAATCCCTACTTGCATTTTAGATACATACTTGAATCTAGGCCAAAATTCACATGTTTAGCACTCGTTCGACTGCTTGAAGGAGTGTTTTTTACCCCAAAAGATACATGCTTGAAAGAGAGTTGTAGAAAGGGATGGAGATTGAAGACAAAATTTTGCGATGCTTCAGTGTTTAATATTAATAATATGTGACTTAAAGCGGAATTATAATTTTTTTTTTAATTTTGGGCTCCGGTGAAAAACATTATATACATCTACTCAATGTAGTGATCGAGCTCTAGATCACGTACATGAAGAGAAGTGAAAATAGGATAAAAACTCGAAAGGATAAACAATATATAAATATCATGCTTTTGTTTCAGAAATTGGATGATGTTTTCAGGCGTGAATAATAATAACAAACGATTACTAAATGAAATGAAATGAAATTCTGGATACCAATTCCAAGAATTTGAGCAAAAAAGATATTTTCAGTATTAAATGTATTATCCAAGGAAGCAATCAGTTCCCTAGCTCGGCCAACAGAAAATTGCTATACAAGAAGACCAATAATAAGCAGGCCATAACTAGTCTTTAAAAAAACAAAACAAAACAAAAGATACGATGCATGAAAGATTTAGGCAACAATCCTAATCAGGATTAAATTTAACAAAAGAAAGAAAGAAAGAAAGAAAATCAGGGACCACGCGTAGGTGCAAAACAGAAGCAGTTTGGATTATGATCTTCGGGTATCATTCCTCCTCCTTTGCTGGTATCAACTGCTTCAAGCATCCTCACCACATCTGCCATCTCTGGACGCTTGTTTGGATTCCCATCCCAGCACTTCCTCATTATATTTGCAAATGAGCTTGGACAGCATCTTGGAATCTCTGGCCTTAGATTCTGTTCAACAACCATGTTAGCGTCCTCAGAACAAGTGTCATGTTTAGACCTGATTGAACTCGGATCCCCTGAAGAACAGATCAATGGATCCTTCAAGTACTTCAGGAGATCCCAATTCTTTATAGCAAGTTGAGATTCTTATCCTCACTTTGGCCTTGAACGTTTAAAAGCCTTGTATAATCGGTAAAAGTTTTAAATTTCACGTTTCCAAATGTTGAGAGCAGCCCAACATTATTAATAGATGCACGAACATGACTGGCAGACTGGATACTGAAATCAGACCAACCTGCCGGGACTTGACAAAATATAATGATGATGTGGCAATAATATGAGTATAGAAATGAACTGACCTGACGAACAACTGCGGATGACACATCAGCAAAGCTAAGATCTGGATAGGGCATGTCACAGCAATAAATTTCCCACAAGCAGATGCCGAAGCTGTAGACATCACATCTATGGTTGTAAGGCTTGCCCTCCAGAACCTACTCAGTGTAAAACCAAGATTAAATGACAGGAATATGCACACGCTCACGAGAATGAAGATGATGGAATTGGCACCCTGACTTTGTTAACTTGTATGATATTATGAATACATCTGATTCTTGTTTTCGGCCATAGTTTAAAATCATACAAGCTGGCAACATCAAAGTTTTTATTGCCAAAACAAAGTTAATACCTCTGGTGCCATGTAACCAAGGGTTCCAGTTTCGCCTGTCATGTCACTCGGATTTAGAGCTTCAACACGAGCAACTCCAAAATCAGCTATTTTCAGATGTGCAAGTCCATCCAGCAACATGTTTTCTGTTTTGACATCACGATGTACAATCCTCTTCGAGTGTAGATAGCTAAGTCTGCAGATGGAGGACAATTCAGTAATCAAATTTTACAGTTTCTTGATCAACAACTATGAAGGTAACTAAAATGGAACTCACCCTCTAGAAAGGTCCAAAGCCAGCTGGATCACGACCTTAAAAGCAAGTTTCTTCCGCCTATTTCTAATTAAGAATTGTTTTAATGTCCCACCAGGAAGATACTCAACAACAACACAACATGCCCTGGATGGAAGAGGATTTTCCCCATTAGTTGAAGAGCTATCCGCCGGGACCTTAAGATTTGAAGTTCCCATCGATGCTCCGATAAACTGTGGCAAATACAAATAAAAGACAACTATAAAACCAAAGGTTTTAAGGTCTATAAAGCAGAAGAATAAGCATGCCAGGAAAAGAAGACAATGGAAAATTCCAAATTGTAATTATCCCTATAGATTAGAATGTAAGCCACCAACAGCAGCCAATTCTCGAAAGCTTTGCAACACAAGTAAAGATCACCAATATGAATGCATGAGCATGAAGACTATGAGTTTGTACTTTTGTGACATTTGGATGGTCAAGTTTGTGCCAGACAGCAACCTCCTGCTGAAAGGATGCACGTAAAGCAGCGGTTTCAGCTGCTGTAGCGATACCATCCTCACCCCAGTTCAATACTTTCACTAAAATATTCAACATGACAACAGTGAGAATTTTCTAGTAACGCAAAATATTGAATTTCAAGACAATAAGTCAGATTTACGTAAAGTGAGGGATGAAATCATAACTAACTCCAAGTTCTGACTTATTTATCTTATTTGGAAAATAATAAATAAAAAAAGTTAGTAATACATAGACAACACTTCCATAACCTATTTAAATTATGACATGACTTAACAAATCTATGATACAGAACTCAATTCCATCTTGTTAACACGTTCAGGATTCTAAAAGCAACATGAACATAACCATCATCTCAAGAAGAAATTGCATCTGACACCTTTCACACCTGATTGGGTCTGTGATTAAAAACATTTGTAGGACCAGATCTAATTACAGAGCATGTAAACGATTAGAAAACAGAGCAGATATGTGATCCAGAGAATTAAGAGCAAGCTTGGAGGAAATCCTGCTGTCCAAAGAAGTTGACGTGATAAAAGAGCCATACACTGGAGCATAAACCAACATTAGAGTACCAAAGTGTCAGACACTTGCGCATAGGCTGAAATTTGCGCCCATTGTAATGGAGGCAAGGGAAGTTTGAAATATTACCAACATCTTTCTCTTTCACTTAAAAAAAAAAATGGCATAACGAGAAAATTTAGACAAATAATCTATAAAGAACAAAGCATAAACACGAGGGCAATGATTAGAGCAATCAATCAATAAATCATCATATGGAACATTCTGATGCCAGAATTAAGGTGCCAAGCAAGTGTATACTGCAAAGATGGATGACATGTCAGGTCACTAATGTCAACCGTGAAAGAGACAATAACAAAACCTTCTAGTGTGTAATGACAACCCGCAACACATTTTAACTTAGCTTCTTCCATTTTTTATGGAATAAGGAGAGAGTAAAGACCTGCAACTTCTTGGTTATCATAGGTGCCCCTATAGACAGTACCATAGGCCCCATGAGCAAAAGCATATCGGATATCCAATTTGGCCAAATCAATCTCCCATTCTTCTTTAGGCCTGTCCGACTCTGATTTCCTTGACCAAACTTTGCTTAAATGCTTTTCTAACTGAACATCCAAACTTTTCAGATCAATCATATCAGCTCTAAATATCATATCTTTACTGCTCTGATTTCCAACACCCTTCATCTTTGAATCCTCAGCTCCTTCGGGTTCCAAGTCCATCTTTGGTGTCCAAACACCTCAACCTTCCGAATCTATCATGAATACTAATTGTAAGTCCCAAATTCCAAGACAAAAATGGAAAGCACCCGAAAATAATACAACAGAAATAGAATCTAATATTTCAGTCCTAAATTGTTAATGAAAACTGTTTGATGATAACTGAGTTACCAGCTGCCAACAAAACTATGCTTCTATTTATTCTGCCTAACATGTTTAAAACTGATTGTATGATTCGAAGCTAGAATTTTCTCGCAAACAAGGATTTTATCAACTATATTCCTCGGTTGAAAAAGAAAAAAGAAAGAAACCCAAAAAAAATTAAAAAAAAAAACTGGAAAAGGAAAGTAAAGCGATCAGAAACTAACCAGTGCCAATGTCACCAATATGACCCAGAAAAAATTACCAAGAAAAGACAGCAATTATCGATGCACCAAACATCGAAGGACGATGAGAACCGACTAACAGAATCTAGCAGACGCATGTGGGAACAAAATCATAAGCCAAAAACCGAAAAGAAACCAAAAAAAGCGAGAGGGCGCAATACATAGATAGTAGAGGAAGAAAAAAGAAGACAAAAAGACTGACTTTAAAAGCGTCAAATGCAAATTGAAGAATGTGGGTCGGTACAGGGTACGTACCTTTGAAGATTTCAAGAATGTCTTTTTTTACAAGATAAGGTGAGTATTGCGGAGGACATCACTAGCACTATTCAAAGATCGAACCTGCGAAAATCAACCAAATATAAAAAGACATTACTCAAGACGAAATCGAAATAGCGACCAAACAAGACAAATACTAAATTAGGCCCCTCTCTTTTCCTGGTTTTTCAAGGAGTGATTTCGCTAACGAAACTTAAAACAGGAAAAAAAAAACAATATGAAAGAAAGCCAGCTAAAACAGAAACCAAATAGAAACATGCTGCAACGAACCGTAGTTATAAACCATGTGTCAGGGAGAGAGAAAAGCGCGGGCGTTCCCTGATTCCCCGAAATATGAGCAGAAGACTCGGGAAGCTGAAGCCCAAAAGGCTAGTGGCAAATGGATGTTCGTGTGGCCACCCAGTACAATTCCGTCCAACCCAACCAAAAATATTCAGCCGGACGTGTTTTTGGACATGTATCATGTATGAGCAAGGCCGGGCAACAGGCATGATCGGCTACACTGCCCACTCGGCCCTGCCCGAAAGTTATGTGTATTTTTTTATTATTTATATCTACCGTGTGCTTATCAACTTAATGGAATTTGCAAAAAAACTAAGGTGCAATGTTACCTCTAAACTATTCATAAAAAAATAAGATTATTTTTTAACTATTTATTGTAATAATATTTTTTTTAAACTAAGTAAATTGAAGAATATTATCCTTGTTGTTTAAAACACAAACATTTGATCATTGATATAGTGAGAGAATAAAAAATTTGATTGGCCAATGACACGTGGCATCCAACATGTATCCAGAAAGCTTCTATGACCCCTTTAATATATTTATATATTCAATAACAAAAATGCCATTATCTCCATCTCTCTTCCTCATCAAAGTTTTCTTCAATCTTCTCTTTCCCCCTAACTCTCCTCCTCCTCTTTTTTTTTTTTTTGAGAAAATATTTCTTTCAACTCAGACCCATTCTTTACAATCTGCATTAGACCCACTCAAACAACCCTTCATCACACATGATCGCCACTGCCTAAATAAGTTCCAGTTCACCAATCAATTAGTGACGCTACACTGACATCGACCTTTGGCTCAATAGACTTGCCGCTCGATTCTAGGGTGACAACATACTCTTGCCTTGTTTAGAGTCCCTTATCCCTCTTCGCGCATCGCATGTCATCACTTTGTTTATCAACTCTTTGTGCTTCGCATTTGGCTTTGTATAGCCCCAAATGTCTTCCTCATGAGCTTTTCGTGAACGACAGTGTCTTATTTGCCCAAACCTTGTCGTTCAAATTATGCCACAGCATCACCATCACGAGGCTACTCCCCAACATCTCGACAGCTGCCATGTTATTTTTGCTCTTCTTGATTAGGAGCTGAGAGAGAGGGTTGTAGGTGTAGGCAGGTTGAGTCTGGTTGCCATCATAGGTGTTGAAAGCTTATTTAAAGATGTTTCAATGGGTGAGGAATTGCATGATGCAATATAGCATGGAGGGGTTGTAGTTTAAGGCTGACAAGAGTTGGGAAAGCATCATAGGAGCGTGATGGCTTTTAGTGGCCTTTGTTATATCGAGTTTGATGGTGCATTTCACGACTGCCATCTTGACCGTGACATTCATTCATCTCGACTATTCATCACAAGTTCCCACCAAAAGCTATACTTCTTCTTCAACCATGCATGACCTTCATCTATTGTTGCAGCAAGTTGAAAATGTGGGAATGTGAAACTTGGAGCATGGCAGCAGTGTGAGAAGAGGAGGAGGAGGCACGGAGCCGTGATGTAGCACCAACAATGACAAGGAGAAGCATGAGCAAACGTCCAGTACCATTGACAACAAGGATGAGAGAGATCTTCAAATAGAAAAGTGCATTCTCAAAAAAATGGGTCCTAATAGTTTTACTTAACGAAAGTTTATGTTTTTAAACAACGGGAGCAACATTGCTCCTTCGCAAATAGTTTAAAGATAAAATTACACCTTAACTCTTTGAAAAATCTCATCTCATTAGTATTTTGAGTTTATAATTTTTTTAATAAATAGTTTATCATTAGTGCAGATTTAATTTGAATAGTCAAATTTAACATCAAATTAAAATATTTATAATTTTTATAAATTGACCATCTAGATATGTTTTGGGTAATTTAAATTTAATACAATTTTTTTGTAATTTTTATAATTTTAATTTTAATAAATATAATATTAAAAATAAAGATAATATCCTAAGCCACTCATTTAAAATAATAATAATATATAAATGACTTAATGTTATTTTATTTTAGTGATATAAAAATAACAAAAACTTTTAAATATATTTAAAAATTCAACATTTACCTTCTATATTTATAATAACAGTATTTAGTTACTTTTTCCCCCCTTCCTCCTTTTGTTTTGCTTCTTTTTATATGGATTGTTCCATATCTAATGTGATTTTACCAGAACAAAGAAATGTTGGTTCCCGCTGGGAAGATATAACTTTAAGTAGAGGTCAAGCTTCGATCGTAGCCTTTCTGGTGGATGCTCGGAAATCATAATGGCAAAACGAGAGCTTTCCACCATGCGAGAGGAGAGAAATCGAAGAAAAAGAGGATGAAGGAAAACCTAATGGCAATGTTTTTGGTAAAATAAGTACATAATGGAAGGTGATCCCCATCCAGGAGCAGTAGTTAAAGATACTGATAGATTGAATGAAGAAGAAGCAAGGCTCCCTCAGCCAGCAGCTGAAACATTTATTTCCAGGGATCAAAGTGTAAATATTTCTACTTGTGAAAATGGAGCTTCAGATTGTCCAAACCATAGTTAATGGCGACCCTCAAAAGGAAACGGCCTTAAGTAATGTCTGAAGCACAGTGTCTAAATAAATCACCCAAGAATGATAAAGGCGATTGTCATGGATCGCCAGAAAACAGTTTGGGGTCTTTCAAAAAACCCTTGATTGTTAGGTCAGTGTGATCATGCTTAACTGAGTTCTCTTCCACGTCCAAGGGGCAAAAACAAAAAAGTTAAGGCACAAATCTACCTGTTCGCCTGGTATCTTTAAATGCAAAGGTGCAAAAGCAAAACTATCATGTTCATAAATGCATGTAATGCTTTCAAGTTTTGAAGAAATAGAGTTAGAGTTATTTTAATTTGGACCATCATGATTTAGAACTGTCTTCTGTTTTGTTTTGTTAATCGGTTTGGTTGAATGATAGATAGTTTTATAAAAAAAAAATATTCATATTTGATGTTTATTTTCATTTCCAATTAATCAATATATTATATGATTTTTTTTAAATTTTATTTTGATCTATTAACTTTTTTTGGTTGAATACTTGAACTATTTTTAGAACTTTTTATATCTCACCTCGCCCTTATTTTGATCTATTAATGTAATGAAACGTTTTATAGTTTTAAATTAAATATTTCTAGTGGTCTTGAAAAAACGAGGAGTAATGCACATTTTTTATACTATATTTTTCTTCGAGCAACATTAAGTACCTTATACTAATAAATAAAATATTTTTTAAATTATTTTTTAGAGGAGTAAAAGACTCCTCTGTTAGTGATATATTAATGAAAGAAGATTTTTGCTCATCTTAAAAATAGTTTAGAGGAAAAAACACCCTATTTTTTACTATAGAGTGCTCAACACTCTTAAAAAAAAAGTATAAAATTAGAAATATATTTTAATCCAAAAAAAAAGGTAATTCAACGGGTCATGAATAATGATCAAACAAAAACATAATAAACGTAGACGAGTGAATGAGTGCAATTGTCATATTTTTATTGGATACACGTGTTTTACTTTAATTATAAAATTTGGATGCCTTTCTTCTTTATCACTCACTATAAATTTTCTAATGAGAGTACATGTGTATAGCCTCTGGTAAACATAAGACAAGTAGATCCTTTCATTAAAATTGACGATATTTGCAAATAAAAAACAGCATTTAGATTTTTTTCCTTAAAACCCTGGTCATGTTTAGAAATTATAAAAGATATTAAGTCTCATCTGGTACGTGGAATAATTTTTGATGGGGCCAAAAAACATAAGATTTTAATATGTTTGATATGTGAATGAAACGGTGATACAATTTTTATTCAATATTGATAAGTGTATTGTCAAAGTACATTTTTGGGTATGAAAAGTACAAAAAATATTAGGCCTTGTTTGGTATATTTTTGATAAAGTATGATGCTTGAAACTTTTTAAAATTTTTAAATTTAAAATTCAAAATTGTGAATTAATTGAAAAATTACAACAATAGATGAGATAATGGGAAAAAATATACAAGAATGAGAGCGAGATTTTTTTCCCCTAGCCAATAAGGAATGAGGTAGAGTGGTTTCTAAGATTTTTAGAGATAAATATTTTTATTATTTTTTAAAAACTAATGCTAACGTGATTGTAAAGAATTGCAACATTATATTCCTGAAATTGCATGCCTGTCAAACAAAAAATGATGTTTGCAGGTCTACTTGCATACCCACACTCTACTTATCAAAATAAGAGAAAAAATTGACCTATTTTTTATTTTTATTTATGTATATTATTTTCAAATAAATACATTTCATTTCATTAATCATCTTTCTCTAAATCAAAATATTCTAATACTCTTCCACATTTATCCCAACTTTTCTGTCCAATTTTTTTTTTTTTTTAGTCAGTCCTTTCATAAATTCGATCAACCTATTAATCACGTGTCATGTTGCAACTTGGTTAAAATTGCTTTGAATCCTTGTTAGCTTCACAAGTTTGGTGAATCAAGACGTCTCGTTTCTTAATTTATGAATAGTCAATTTTTTTTATATCTTTTATATTTCTATCATAGATTAAGTTCTTTCTTTTTTTTTTAACTTAAATTACATTCTTTATCAATATTTTTTTATTTTTTATACGCTGCAATCGTTATCTCATTTTCTTATACCAATCTTTATGAACAATTATCTATATATATATATATATATATATTAGTAGGGATAATGAAATTGCAATTATTTGGTCCCTCAATTAATTTTTATTGATTCAAGAAAAAATGAAAAAAAATTCATTTAAATTATATAACTAGCATATTAGTCCCACTAAATGGCATAATTTTCCTGAAGTTTCATGAGATTTTTTTGTTATTAGGATAATAAAGAAAATGACCAAATGGCCCTCAAAAAATTAAAAATTCTTAGAGTTGTAAATGACTATTAAATTGTTATAAATTTAAAAATAAAAGTTGTTAATATAGGAATAAAAGTTATGAATGAAAAGTTATAAATTTTTAACACTTAATGTATATCAGAACCTGCATATGAGAAATTGCAAATGACTATTAAATTATTGTAAATTTAGAAATAAAAGTTGTTAATAGAGGAACAAAAGTTTAAATAAAAAGTTACAAATTTTCAACACTTAATATGCATCAAGACTTGCAAATGCGGAGTTACAA